CAAGCAGGTACTCCAGAATGAGCGACAATCTTGTACCGACCCTCTCCAACGATGACTGATGGCAATATGGTCTATTTGAGTCCATCGTTGGTTTGGTGCAGGCGGTCGCCACGCTAGACGATGTCTCTCCTTATGCTTAAAATTTGTGTTTGCTAAAAATAAGCGATTGTCTGAGCACAGTTGCAGCAGACGGTCACCATTATTTGTTCGCTGTGCCGGAATGCCAAAATATCCACCTAAATGCCTTTCTGTTTGGTTCAAGCTACCTATCTGAGCACTAAAGTCACCCCCTACGAGTACTATGTCTGAGCGTTTAGCTTTCTGAAGAAGTTCGGACAGCTTTCTGTAAAATTCATCTTTCACATCATCTGAGCTGCAGTCAGTGGGAGCGTAGGCAGGAACGACGAAAAGGCAACGACATGTGTCCCTATCCGTCCGAGTTCTTACGGAGCTGTTTAACCGAACAGCACATAGACGACTGTTGACGGGGATCCACTCTAGCAGTGCTTGTTCCGCCCTCATGCTTAGTGCTATGCCTACTCCTGCCAGTCCACGAGAACTGGCCATCGGGTCACCAGATACACGGAGGGTGTATCTCGTTGGCTCTCCGTTTTGCCGAGGTGAGGTCAAGTGAATGACCACACTGGAATCCTGTATGCGTGTTTCGGAGATACAGCATACATCAATGGAAAGAGACTCTAGGGTTTTAGCCAAGGAAGCCTGCTGACCGATTTGACATAGAGTGCGTACGTTGAAAGCTCCAATGTGTAGTTTGGAGCGAGGTTTCAGTAGACCTGGGACAGAGTTTTGAGCACTAGAATCGTTGGCTATGGTGACACTTGAGAAGGAAGCCGAAGGAGGAAGTTTAGGGTTGAAAGTCGATGTAGGAGGAGTAATAGGAATTGAAGAGGAAAATTGATCATGAATATAGTGGTCTTGAGTGCTATTAGAGGTATGAGGATGGTTATTATTTCCCGGTTGCACACACCGTGAAAGGGTTCTTCTGGAGGTACATGGATAGAAAATTGGATTAGAGGTGGACTCAGTGACCTGAGAGCGTGACCGCAGTGCCCAAGGGACAACTGCTTGAGGCCGGTCGCGCACGGCCTTTTCGTGGGAGGTTTTTGACGTGTTAGCTCTGTTCTTTAAAGGGCCTTACCGCCGGAGACGGAAATCCGTGAGGTAAGGTGAGGTGTGCATTTTTAGGGTCGACCTTTTCTAACCCCACCCCTCCTTGTGGGAAGGCAGCATCGCTGTCATGCTGGTTGTCTGAAGGAAACACCTTACTGCTGTCACACCTCTGTACAGTCAGCAGTACGACTTCGCCTTCGGACCTTGGGTTTGTTGCTTTTAGTCTTACCGCTCTTCAACCGACCTGTCTGACATGGTAGGACCTTGAGGAACGGTTGTTCCAGCCAGTATAGCTCGGTTGCTTCATCACGATAGGCAAGCCCAACCACCACGTCAAGGTAGCAACAACGGTCGGGTAACAACAACGGTCGGGGTAGCAACAACGGTCAGTGTTTAAACAATATGCTTGAATTATTGAATCATTATTTTATGATAGATATGTTTTGTGGATTGAACGTTAATTGTTATACCTGGTCGTTATTAATTGTTGTGTCGGAAACACTTATCACTTATACTTGAAATGACGGACCTCTGTAATTTCCATATCGTGAAAGTAAGAACATAAAGACTGGTATAAGTAAAGATTTATTAATCCTCAAAACATGATGACGACGATGACCCTAGTCGAACAAAAATCATGATGAGTAAATCAATCGAATTTCGACTTTTTTTCTGTCTTCTACCTGAAGTTTGTGCTGATGATATCGTTTAGATGAACGATGAAAGCTCCACGGCCAAACCATCCAGTTCAGAGAACAAAACCCTATCAAAAAATGTATAAAGACATATATAAGCCAACAATATTGTTTTCGATTAGATCCACATCAGACTTTAATATAATTGGACCGTGAAGCGTATATATGAGAAAAGAAAAGGGCTGAGACGTAAGAAGAAAAGGTCAAGGGAGAGATAAGGATGTTACAAATTTCTTATGAACATAAAGACTTGAATTGTTAACCTCAAATTCCTATAGCTTCTGCTATGTGTAAAAGAGAAGAGATCGAAACCTCACTTCTTATTACGTAATCTCATAATTTTCTAATCATTGACTTATTTCCCATTATGTACCATTGATTCAAACCTTTATTATTGCTTATCACAACTAGTACACCTATCATCACACTACCGATTTGTACTTATTATGTTTATATGTATAATCTATTCCACTGTTATCATTCACTTGATTGGTTTAATAATTTTCTATATGCATATAAATATAGCTGTATATTAAAGTCTGATGAGGATTTAGTGGCCCGTGGATCTGACTCCAATTAGATCGTATGAATGTTTGTTATCGCCTATCCTCGTATATAATCGTCCACCTAAATCGCGTTATTCAATAACGGAATTAAATAAGTGGAATAACGAGAATGGACTTGTGAATACACGTATTTTGTATATAAAGCGGATGGAATAGAAAGAAGAGAAACGACGCAGAGTGGAGACGGCGGGTAAGCCAACTCCAATTTAACTAAGCGTTGGTCAATATTTATAGTTACGCAAATGTAAGTTACAGACATGTGATGAGTAATGAGATAAGAAATAATGTACACACACCTACGCTCTCATATAGAAACAGTCAAGATTGATAAGCGAATAATTAACAAGGTCTAAATGTGACTCAAGTAGAATGAACAGAATGGGCTGTCCGAAAGCTAGAATAAGGTATATGGGCTTAACATAATAACCGACACTACAAGGATCAAATAGGAAACAATATTGTTCGCTTATATCTATGTTGTTTCAAATCACAAAATATGTGAATTTTTCAAATATAAATCGGCAGAAATACTTATCATTTCATTTTGTAGTGAACAAGAATACCAGTGAGAACAACCAAATGTACATCAATACAACATTACAGAATCTCTTAGTAAAATCTATGATCCATACAATAAATACTTCGTTTGTAAAATGTCAGTGAATCGTTTCAGACTTGATCCTTCATTTTCACACTAATTATTATCTATTTTCGTTATTTTTTCTTCGGTCTTCTTAACCTTGTGCTGTCAAGTATTTTACTTTAGATGATGATACATACTACTTATATCTATCAGTATTAGTAACATACACCACAATATCATTCAACTTTAGTAAAAAGTATACTAAAATATTTCAGATTATTTGGCTATGATTACCGTTTTTGAAAGAGTGGACATTCAGTTATGAATGATGGTATCTTGTTAGTGTGAAAGTTTTTGAATATATACAATGTGTTTAGTTGAAAAATGTTATATTTTAGCATTCTGTTTGCATTTAAATATTAAGAAGGCTTTTTATCAAAGTCATTTTTAGTCAGTCAGGTATAACGTAGGATCAGGCACATATATGCATCAGTTCAAGTTGCCATACTTCAGTAGCACAACAAGATAAACACTGAATTCATAGAACTAGTTAATTCAGTGGTAGTAATATATAAAGGGAAGATTATAGAAAGAAAGAATTAGTTGGTAGAAAGCAAGAAAGATATGAAACGATTTTAATCTCATGGTTTGAGGGAAGACAAAGAGTGTATACACCGACGCCATTGTGATCGATTCTGAGTCATGTCATCGAGATTTAACTAGATTAACTTAATAAATACTTTACAAATTAAAACTGTAATTTATGGACGGTCTTTGAGTGACATCAAAATGACCATGAGAATGTTCACCTACTGACTATGGCTAAATAAGAGTTTTAAACCTATGTGAATGATAAGAATTGTAATTTACAGTTGATGATTAAAATGAGGAATTAGATTTCAAATGTTCATCACGAACCGATATCAGCTATAATACCAAAACTCTATTTTATTCAAATGGATAGATGAGTTTCATGTCAAAATCCAAAACCTTATTATTATAAATCTGATTCTAATTGATTCATAAATTCTAGTCTCACCCTTTACAAAACTATTTGTATACATCCCGAATGTGCGTTTCTTTCTGTTATGTCCTTGACCTGTCTACCCACTTTTGTTGCTGAGGTCACTTATCTAGTCCAGATTAAGACCTTGGCACTATAGGCTAACCGACCTAACCTTGAGGCTAGTGTGCGTTCGAAGTGGGGTAGAGAGAAGAAAACTATTCTATCACTTGACTGGCTGACATGCATGTGAATGAGAGAAGATAAGACAACTGGAACACTACTCGATCTACTCTCAATATCCTGGATTCTTCTGATCTGAGATTAGTGTAAAAAGGTACATGAATAAATAGGTGACTAACACGACCACAACATACAATAATTAGGAAAAATACAATTATGTCCAAAGCCGGGAATGGTGCAAAATATTATGTTTAAATTACAATAGCTTCGGAACAGAAAAGGGTATATCAATGAATCATACATCAAACGAAAGCTTATGTTCTGTAGAATAGATTACGGACAAAAATAAATATCTATGTTTTACAAGCTTTGAATAAAATGGAATAACGTCCCGAAAAATAGCTTTCATAGTTTGTCAGGGTTTCTTGTATTCCTGTTCACATCACTTCCTCTTTTACAACTTATCAGTTGGATGTAATTGTATCTCTCTTAGACTCGAACCAAGTACCATTCACTTCAAACTCTATCGTATTATTTACTTAGCTACTAAATTTAAATAGCCAGATATATATGTGAAATCAATAAGTTCAAATAAATCAATAAATATTGAATAATTAATTGATAAAGTGCAAAAACTTACTCTGAATTATCGATTGATAAGATGATTATGAATCAATAGTGATTGATTGATATACCATTGATATCAATCAATCTGTCTTATATCCCATGTGTATATATATATATTAACTTCACTTAATCAGTGGAAATCAGTATGTACCTTCTTGTGAATATCATAAACAATGCTTATTCGTATATATATCATACTATACTTAATCCATATGATGTATCATATGTATATTACTTTCTCTATTCAATATGTTCATTGGCATAAAGATAATGATCATAATTTAGATATTGAATCTAATATGGATCTAGATGATCTTTTAAAAGAAAAATATGGGGGAAATTTAAAAGGAACTCATTCTTATAATCCATATGAACAAAAATTATCCAGTAAATCATTAAGTGGAAAAATTATTGATAAATTACAAAAAGATACAAAAAATTATGAAAAAGAAAAATCAATAATTGATCAAAAAATGAAACCAAATCAAAATCATCATTATGGTACATCAATTATTATAACTCATAATAAATATACATCAATAATCAATGGTAAAAAGAAAACTGATGAAGATGAAACTATTGAAGCAGAAGAATATGATGATCATGATGATGTTCATGATGTTGTTGATCAAGATTTGAAAGTTGATAAACATTCATATAGTTTATTGGAATTTCCATTTACAGTATTGAAAAATTTTGGTTTTGGTGGATGGTTTTGACATAGATAGATAGATAGATAGATAGATAGATAGATATGGAAACTGTAAATTGGTTATTGATTTTATTGAAAGTTTGTACACCTATGATGATGTTAATCGAATTTGTTTTTGTTTGTAAATTGTTTCTCTTTCGGTTTATCTTTTTGAATATTGATGAAATTGTGTTATCAGTATAGGGTTAGGGTTGATGTTAGACTACCATTGAAAACCTGGAAGAACTGGATGGCCATTTCGTCCTGTTTTGGAATTTCTCAACAGTGCGCATCCACGATTCTGTTGGTGGGATTTGAAACCAGAGCCTTCAGTCTCGCGCGTGAACGCTTAAACTACTAGACTACTGAGTCTGTATCCAAAGGTGTTAATGTCTAACCTCAACCAATCCACAAAATTGCGCGACTATCTTCCATTAGATACCTGTTTCTAGTCGACACGGATTAACTCTACTGGTTACACACTGCTGAGTAGTCCCGAAACAGGACGAAACGGCCATTCAGTGCTTCCAGGTTTTCAATGGTATTCTTACATCAATTGGTTCATGATCTCAATCAAAAATTGTGTTAAACCGGTGTTGATAAACTAAGGAAATTCATATTATATTCAAAATTCTTTATTAGTTTATCATCGACATTTTTAATGAATGGTATTTTTTCCTTTGTACTACTACTTCAACTCGTGTGGATTTAATTCCGGCTACTTATTTATTTACTCTGAATAAGTGTCTTATATTAAGTTACGAACTATCAAAATTACAATTTTTCCACAGAGATACTATAAGTTATAGACGAACCAATCAGATTTACAATAACAGGTCTTGGATTTCGGTGCGAAATTCATTTATCCATTGAATTAAACACTGTTTTGATAATTTAGCTGATGTTAGTTCGTGATAAAAACATTAAATCTAATCCCTATCCTTAACTATCAACTGTAAATTACAATCCTTATCCTTTACATTGGTTTAAGATCCTTATTTAGCCCTAGTACTTAGGTGTATATTCTCAAAGCGCTGAAAGTTCGTTATGGTCTAACCTTGGCAGTGATACCTACAATGAATGTAAGATTTAGAATGTTATGACTAATTTCCTCATGGAATATGAATGTACGTAACATCATGTCGTAATTATAAATGTTACCATTAAGCTAAGTAGGGCATGACTAAACGCTTGTAATAATGAGAAAATCACATTAACTGGTCCCTGGCTGGTAATCATTATGACATTTGTGTTGATTGTTTGATGCTGATTCCAGTCTATGGATATAACGGTGTTTGATAGATTATGAATTAAGCAAAAACATTTCCGGGTTCGAATCCCGCGGGCGGGATTGTGGATGCTCACTGCTGAGGATAAAATGGTCGTTCAGTGCTTCCAGGTTTAAAATCAATCGGTTTATGATCTCAATCAAAATTTTTCTAATAAATATGTATAATGGTTCCCGAAAAACCAGTCATTTTACACAGTTATCTTTAAGGAATGATATAAAATTGCATCAGATAGTTGGGAATAAATCATTTAGTTCAAACAATCCCATAGATTGTGACTTAACTGTTCTCATTGAACTATCTGATAAATTTTCATTATTTCTGTCAGAGATGACTTAGCGCAGAAATAGTGCACTCAGTGTCGAGTCACCTAGACTAGTGGCCACATTGCAATCTTGGTCGATGGCATTCGATCTGCACTAAGAAGGACTTGTTACGCATGACAGTGATCACCACCCAGTGATTACTGAACTGTAATAACTTTGGCCTATTGTTATATGATTTGATTTCACAATAAAAGATAATATTTATCTGTTCTTGTATAATCAACAGATCATATTGAATATCTCCATTTAAATAAATTGTGTATTTGGAAATATATTCGTGTTTTTTTGTTTTTGTTTGATATCTTTTGGTGGTTGATTATTCAACTGATGTGCAGCGATGGCTTAATAAATATAAGGATTGACTGCCAGTCTGTAGGTCAGAGGTTTTAACCAAGTTGGTTCAAGTAACCAGGTAGGATCATTGATCTTTATAGAAAGAGAATAACTTAAAGCCGAGAACATAGACCTATACAGTTAGCTGATCACTGAGTAGTGAAAAATATCATCTCTGTCTAATCCTTAGACGCTGTGATAGGATTATACCGATCAGTTTATAATATAGCCACTAGTCTAAGTTACTCAATATCATGTACGTTATGTTGAGTTGTTTGAGATATTTGACAGGAAATCTTGAACTAAGGCTTCGTACTAGTTGGAACTCGTTTAGAAGTCGTACCTGAAATCTTAGGCTCACTGTGATGCTACCTGTTGAATTTGAATCCCCATCACCTAGCCTTACAGTCTGAGACGTTATCACTGAGATATCTTAACGTTTGATTGATGAATTACGATAAACAGGAAATAAAATTGTTCAAACATAAAATTGTCCACATCACTCAATGGTCTAGATGTTAAGCGTTTGCGCGCGAGACTGATAGGTCCTGAATTTGAATCTCACGGAGGGAGATCGTGGATGCGCACTGATTAGGAGTTCCACAATAGGACGAAACGGCTGTTCAGTGCTTCTAGGTTTTCCATGACGATCTAGCTTCGATTGACTCATGATCTCAACTATTGAAATTCAATAAAATGCTTATAGTTAGATCAAAACGTTATTTCTTAGTGATATAAGTTATGAGTCTGCTAATTATATCCAGTGTTTTATTCATTTGAATAAGTAGCGAGTTAATATGTAGAATGCAATAAATATTAACCAATAAAAACACTAATTACCTTAAAAGGCCAAAGCAAGTAAATAAATTTTAAAATTCCACCATGAATGAACATGTTGAGCATATAAACCGTATTATAGTGTCGGTTGCTATGTTAAGCCCACATAGCTTATTTTAACTTCCGAACAGGTAAATTTATTCATTCTTCTTGAGTCACATTTTAACTCTGTTGATTATTCGCCTATCAACCCTGATTGTTTTTATGTAAGCATATGTGTGGTCATTTCTTATCTTATCAACACATGTTTGTAATTTATTTTTGTTCGGCTATAAATATCGATTAACGCTTGACTAAATCGAGTTGGCTCACATATCTTCTCCACTGTATGTCATTTCGCTTCTCCTACTTCTCTTCGCTTTCTTCACTTCGTCCCTCTGATTGTCTATCCAGATCAATGAGTGTACAAAGCATATGTATTTAAACATTCATTCTCGTATTTGACTTATTTGATTCCGTTATTCATCAACGCGAGCTGAGTCGATAATTATACACGAGAATTGGCGTTATGTCTATTTCAATAACTATTGATCACACGATCGAATTAGAATCAGATCTGAGGTCACTCAAGTATATCAGCAGTCTATTTAGATCTTTTATGTTTAACCGGCTTCTGTTTTTATACAATTTCAATTAACTTGCATATTTGTTATTGTTGTTGTTGACATTTTACAATTCAATGTTAGTTTACTACAACACAGATGTTTCTTCATAACGAAGCTGTTAGTGAGTGTTGCTATAGAATCACTAACCAAGATAAAACAGGCATTGATCGCTAGTTTACAATAATTGTCTAACTGTAGTAATTCTAATAAAATGTAATTAGATCATACAAACGATTTCATGAATCTATTCAAATTTATTTTGTATTTATTATTAGCTCCACCATCAATACGATTTTCAAGTCAAGAAGGTGAACATAATATAGCACTTGGATCTAATTTAGCATTATTTTGTGTTGCAACTGGTCATCCATTACCTAAAATTACATGGACAAAAGATGGAAAATCTATAAATGATAGAAAATTTACAATTAGTGAAGATAATGTACATTTACGATTAATTAATGTTGAAGAAAATGATAATGGTCGTTATGCATGTCATGTTATAAGTGAATATGGTCAAGTTTCTAAAACATTCGATGTTAAAATAACATGTAAGTATTATTGTATATTTATTCATCAGAAGGGGTTTTGTAGAGAATATAGTCATTTTAATAGTTAAAATCATGAGACAATTGAAGCTAGACTATCATGGAAAAACTGAGTTCGAATCTTAAAGGGGTTGGGATCGTAGATGCGCACTACTGAGGAACCCGAAAATTGGACGAAACGGCCGTTCAGTGCTTCCAGGTTTTCTATAGTGGTCTAGCTTCAATTGACTCATGATTTCAACTATTTTATATTTATTCAATAAAGCGTCTTATTCTTTTTGATTAATACTTTAATCGAGATTGTGTAAGAGAAATGATAATGTTAACTAGTTGCTCAAATCGAAAAAGGTGAACTTAGATCCAAACCGATAACTTAGTTGCTACAAGAGACTTCAAATTACGTATTAAAGTATAGTTATTTTTGCATAATGTAACTTGATGAGACTATAATTTATGGATGACCTTTGAGTGATGCTAAACTGATCTTGAGAGTGTCCACCTAAGAACTAGGGCCAAATGTGGGTTATAAACCAGTGTGGAGAATTGGAATTATGATGAAAGTTAGATATTGTATTTAGTCCTAATCACTGCCTTCTCGTGACGGGGGTGTTGTTTACGAAAATGGGAGGACGAAAAGCGAATGTCCGGCGCTTTAACCGGATCACAAACCAATGGTGCACATGGGCTCCAGAATCCTGCTGGAACAAATGGCATGTGAACCAATTTTCGGTCACCGGCTACCATGGGACTGCATCTCCTTACGATGCTCCACTGCCTTGTGGGTTAGATCCTTAGGTCAAAGGCTCGGGGTGTGGCCCCGTAAGATAACCACCTGCTTCGGTTTGGGCACCCGGGCAATATCACAGCCCACACGCAAATGATGAACTCTCTATATCTATGGAAACTACTTTTCTCGCTTCGAATAACAATCAAATGATTCAAATTATTATCATTACTATTATTGTTATTGTTATTATTATTATTATTATTATTATTATTATTTACTACGTCATTATTCACCCTCTTTTATTCCTACTCTGTCTATACTTATTTTTTCGACTTATACAGCAGCTCGTCTTTGGTGGAAATTCGACTCTATCTAAACGTTCTCGAGTCACTGTCCGGTTGAAAATTGTATGTTACCACCGAATATGAGTACTGAAGCAGTTTTTCTGAAACCACGTGCACCATTCAAACTGGCTGCCTTCAACGTTCGCACACTTATGCAGGTTGGACAACAGATAGGGCTGGCTATGTCTTTAGAAAGTCTTAATATCGATATCTGCTGCCTATCTGAGACCCGTGTTCAAGACTCTGGTGAAGTACTACAAGCTCGCTCTCCATCTGTCGCTTCAAAAAACTTGTTTTACTTGCGTTTATTCGGGGACCCTGTGGCATCTTCGTCTGGTCTTGCTGCCGTTGGTGTCGCACTAAGCGCTAGAGCTGAGGCAGCACTAGTCGATTGGATCCCCATTAACAGTCGGTTATGTGCTGTTAGATTAGAAAATTCCATCAAAGTGAGAAGAAATCGGCGGGAGAAACTATGTCTTTTGATCATCTCCGCCTATGTCCCGACAGATTGCAGCGCGGATGAAATCAAGGATGAGTTTTACCACCAGTTATCTGTTCTTCTCCAGAAAGTGAGTTCGACAGATATTGTAATACTAGCCGGAGACTTGAATGCTCAGGTCGGGCATCTAGGCACAGAAGAGAACCATTTAGGTGGCCGGTGGGGACTTGTTGGTTGCAGGACAGATAACGGGGACCGTCTACTGCAAATGTGTACAGACCACAACCCGTTCCTGGCTAGCACTAACTATTAGCACAGTCATCGCCGATGTGCCACCTGGCGTCCTCCCTCTGCATCCCAAGCCTGGACTCAGATTGATCACATCGCGATCAGCTACCACTGGCGTGGTTGTGTACAAGACTGCCGCTCCTTTTAGAGTATCTATCTGGACTCTGACCATGCCTTGGTCTGCGCCAATCTTACCTTACTTTTCAGTGGACAACGAAGTGACCGCCACCAACGGATTGATATTAGCAAGCTGGTTGCAGCTTCTGTTGCAAATAAGTATCGAACCGAGCTAGTTTCTAGGCTGGCTACCATTCCACCAAAAAGTATAGGTGAGCATTGGTTGCAATCGCATGACGCCATGAAAATGGCGAGTACAATCAGTTGTAGGTTCGCGAAACGTCCCACTTATAAGCACTGGGTTTCTTCTGGTTCCTTACAACTCATTGAAGCCCGTCGGTCTACTCCGGGTGACCGTGAGTTTGACCACAAACGAAAGATGTTACGTAAGGTAATTGGGAAAAGCTTGCATAAGGACCGAGAAGCCTGGTGGTCGTAGCGTGCTAATGAGCTGGAAGCAGCAGCTGCATCTGGTAATTACCGGAAGCTCTTCCAACTCATCTAAGTCACTGGCAGCAAGAAGTCTGGTGTGAGCAAAACCATCCAGCTCAGAGAACAAAACACCACCAAAATCTACGAGGATGATGGGATTCCAATCACTAACATCCATCGACGTCTTGGACGATGGGCTGAATTTTTCAAAGGGCAGTTCAGCTGGCCTGCTGCTCCGGCAACATCGGTCAGACTGTCCTGCCCTCAATGACCGGTGACGACTGATCCACCAAATGAGGAGGAAGTCCGTAGGGAACTCCAACTCTTGAAGCACTACAAATCACCTGGCCCAGACGACTTATTTCCGGCTCTTTTTAAAGATGGTGGTGACTTTCTGACTAAGGAATTGACGAAGTTGTTTACAAAGGTTTGGGAGCTAGAGCGTGTACTAACGTCGTGGAATGAGTCGATAATTGTTCTTATCTTTAAAAAGGGTTCACGTCGTTCCTGTAACAACTATCGGGGAATAAGTCTACTTCCGATTGCGTCCAAGCTATTGGCTCCTGTCATACTTCGTAGGTTTTTCAAAACCAGAGAAAGATTGACTTGCGAGTTTCGTTCTGGTCGAGGATGTATTGATTATATTTCCACCCTCAACCAAATGTTAGAACACCGCCATACTTATCAAAGGCCAACAATCGTAGCGTTTCTTGACATCAGGGCTGCCTTCGATTCGTTGGATAGGACTGTTCTCTGGGATTGTCTATTGAAGAAGGTTGTGCCTGAGAAGTTTATTAACATCCTAAAAGCCCTATGTACAAACATCTCAGGCAGAGTGAGGGCATACAACTACCTCTCTCCATTGTTCCATTCGAGCAGTGGGGTTAGGCAGGGTTGCCCAATCTCACCATTCCTCATCAACTTTGCCATCGATGACATTCTAGAAACAGCTCTGATGGATTAAGTAATGGAGGTGTGGATCTGTTGTCTGGAGAAAGACTTCTCGACCTTGAGTATGCGGACGATATTGTCTTACTGTGCGATAATGCTCAAGGCATGGAATCCGCACTTAATCAGTTGGCAATCAGTGTCCGTAGGTATGGTATGTGCTTTGCACCTTCGAAGTCCAAAGTACTTCTACAAGACTGGCAGGACTCAAATCCTTGTACTCACTCTGGATGGTGAGCAGATAGAAGTAGTCGAGAAGTTCGTGTATCTAGGTAGCTGCATAAGTGTTGGTGGTGACGTAATTGATGAGATCAATGCACGTATAGTGAAAGCCAGAGCGGCTTATGCCAATCTGGGCCATCTTTGGCGCCTTCGTGATGTTAGTCTGGCCGTAAAAGGTCGGATCTACAACGTGTCGGTGAGAGCAGTCTTGCTCTATGCTTGTGAAACCTGGCCTCTCCGAGTTGAGGACGTTAGACGACTCTGTGTTTGATCACCGTTGTCTCCGAACGATTGCTGACATCCACTGACAACACCATGTTAGTAATGCAGAGGTTCGGCATCGTGTGTTCGGGCACAGAGACGACAACCCAATTAGTGTTACCATCTTGAAACACCAACTTCGGTGGCTTGGACATGTTCTACGAATATCGTCCCAGAGAATTCCACGTCGTGCATTGTTTGCCGACTCTGGGACTGGTTGGAAGAAGCGGTGAGGTGGTCAGTATATGACATGGTGTCGTGGCATGAAAGAAAACTGCAAATGACTGGCTTTTGTTGGTCCTTCTGGACTCCCTGGTTGGAGTCCGAGAGATGGTGGTACACAGTGGCTAGAGACGTTATCAGATATGGCTCAGAATAGCAGCCAGTGGCGATCCTGATGTAACCTTCTTTTACTATCTTCATAAAAAAGTGGTTGTCTGTTTCTTAACTGAAAGATTTCTTCTGATTGTACCTTTCCGTTCCCCCATTTTTACCATTATTATTATTATACCACCTTACATCAATCTCTTCGTCATTATCCTCTCTTTTTTCTTTTCCTTCTCCTTAAATTCTCATTGTTTTTTGTGGCGCATATATATTTGGCGCATTCTCGTACCAATATTTATGTGTTCAAATAAATAAATAGTGTTTTCATCACGAACTGACATCAGCTATAATGCCAAAACTCTATTTAGCCTAATTTATGTAATTACCACTTCTCAAGATGCGATTAAATGTCATAGGACTTTGTAGAAAATTATTTTCCATACGTCACTCTTACTTTAATCAATTCCTCACCATATCTGCTAACAGTAGAATCTATCAGGTACACCTCGTCCTATTTTGTACTCATCAATTGTGTGTACCTGCATCCTAATTTTTGAGATTCATACTTTAACTCAAGCCTATTCATTCGTTTTAGCTTCAAATGCCAGATTTATCCACTGAGCTACTGAGCCCAAATAGCAACTAACTTATTTAAAAGTTATAATGATGCATGCATTTACCGAGACATGTATTTAAATATATTATTTATTTTTTTTCTTGAATGCTTATATAGATGGACCTAGACTGGATCCCGATGGTCAACTGCAATACAGTGTCGAACGTACCGTAGGAGCTAGTGCTCTGCTTGAATGTCTTGTGTCTGGTAATCCTCGACCGAAAATTGAATGGTTCAAGGATGGTATACCACTTGATCAACTTCATATAGGTTAGTAATAGATAAAATTTTCATATTTGCTATTCGTATGTATCAATACCAAGGTTGGATTTGATAGTTTAAATGAATTGAGTATTATCAGCATAAGGTTGTAGAGATTATTGAGTTTAAATTGATATCATAGATAGATCAATGTTAGACCACCATTAAAAACTGGAATAACTGGAAGGCTGTTTTGTCTTGATACGGGGCCCCTCAGCAATGCGCATCCACGATCCCTTACATGGGACTCGAACCAGATTCTTCGATCTCGAGTGCGAACGCTTAACCTGTGGACTACGGAGCCGGCCGACATCCAACAGTGTTAACGCCTAACTCCAACTAATCCACGATATTGCGCGGTCTTCCACCATTGTCCTCAGTGAGTACTGACGAGTACCAAGTAGCATGAAACCTAAGTGCAGGGTTTCCTGTTAACTTTCACATCTTAGCTGTTCAAAATATCCTGGTTCTTATATTTCTGTAACTAAGATTGGTCCATGAGTCAAACTCTGAGACCAATTTATAAATTTGATAAAGTAGTTTTATCAAGTAAATTTTGTTCCAATGAAGAGTTGTATGTTGGTTCGAACCCACAGGTATACAGTAATAATATAATAATCATCAGAAGGTACAAGTATTTATAAACAGTTATCAACGCGAGATACTCATATTCGTTGTCCGGATACCATCAGCAATAGTCTACTGTGGGAGAAAATAACCAGCTTCCAGATGAGGAGGAAGTTAGGAAGACACCATGGAGTTGGTGGATAGGACATACATTACGGAAACCACCAAACTGCGTCATGAGGCAAGTGTTTACTACCTGGAATCGTGAAGGTAACGGAAAAGAGGAAGGTGGAAGAACACTACGTGAGATTGGAAGCAGCACTGAAAAGATGAGTACCGACTGGGAAGGATTGTCCAGGATAGAGTTGGATCGGAGAGTACTGATGCGCCGCCTATACTCCTCAACGAGGAGTACAGGAGTAAGTAAGTGAGCGTAAAAGACACAATAACTAGTCTTATTCTAATTTTACATCATTATCTGTTGATTCGGCTTTCGAAGAACTTCAACGGAGCCTCCAGAGGCCCAAAAGGAGCCAAAGAGTCCTAGCCAATCAGAGCATGATGGAGTATTTTAGAATTCCAACGTGGCGTGCTGCTATTGGTCAGTAGCATAATATGTCGCTAACGGATTGGCCGAAATATGATGTTGATTTGACAAATGTTGACATCTATAAATACCCATGTTTCTGTACAAAAACGAACTTTGGAGTAAACTATTTCTCAATAGAACTCCAGGAAATACCTCTTGAAACCAGTCACTAGTGAGCATATGTCGATTAATATTAGAAGACGTTTTGTGGATATTATAGTAATTTCAGTAGTTGAGATCATGAGTCAATCGATTGACTCATGAATTCAACTACGAAGTTACTAACTTACTAGTTTAATCATGATAACAAACAAGGATCGTAGCAACTATTAATTTCTATGAATTACAATGCCAAAATACCCATACTGAATACCAATTATCTATCATGCATAACTGGTTAAAAAAAAAGGAAAACAAAATAACCGTTTAACAACTTACTTGTGCCTCCAATTTCAACGGTGACTGAATGACTCACTTTACCATACATATTAACAGCTTCACATATGAAAACACCTCCATCTTCCATGTTTACATCTAAAGGTACATTGAAAGAAAACAAAAATCAGATATAACTTTGGACAATAAATCCATTTTTTGTTTAAAATGCATCAAAGTTAACAATCGAATATACTCATCGTTGTAATTTTATTCTCATAGATGATAGTAAGTAAAATTCCCCTTTAAGTATCTACGTGTATTAGGGTGTTTGTGTAAACATATATAATGATAAAATCAAGAATAATTTAACTATACAAAAATGTTTAATTGAAATCAACTTCATCAATGCTGATTGAAATAGGTTTATTCATGTTGAAATCAACTGGAGTGAAATCCTGGAGTGAACATCAACTCTACGATGCAGGCACTTCCAGCTGACGAGTCCCAAATGGGACGAAACGCATGTCGTGGATTTCACTGCTAGCCACTATCCATTTATTGCCTAAATAAGGAGACTTAAAGTTGAATAGAATGACATACATCTAACATTAGATGTTTTTTGATGCGAAGTCTACATATTATCTAGAGAGATCAAAACAGTATTAACACTTAAATACAAATAAGACGTCCAGTGTTCTAGGTTTTCCATGGTGATCTAACTTCAATTGGTTCACGATCTTAACTATGAAATTACTATAATATCCACAAAAGCCCCTTCTGATATTAAAGAATATAGAATTCTCAGCATAAATTATTTCGACAAGTTTCCGTTTCTTATTTCTTGATCGACATTGAGTGATCGCCAATTAGATGTTAACAGTTCAGAAATCGAAATCTGAATAATTGTCATTCTTATCGACGAATAATGTAAACAACCACGATGTCTCTGATGATACTTTTTTATGTTTAGGGGTTGTGAAGATTGTTAAGTTTTTCATTGAAATCATGAGTCAATTGAAGCTAGACCACCATGGAAAACCTGGAAGAACTGGACGGACGTTTCATCCTAGTATGGGACTCCTCAGCAGTACACATCCACGATCCCGCACCCCGCGACGTTTGGACCCAGGACCTGTGAGTCTCGCGCCAGGCGCTTAACCTCTAGACCACTGAGTCGGCATCCAATGGTGTTAAGGCCTAACCTCAACCAATCCACGAAATTGCACGACCATCTTCCATTGTAATGAGGAAGACACCTGTTTCTACTTGATACGGATTAGCTCCACTGGTCACGGCTACCTCTATTTCTTCCAGGTTTTCCATGGTGGTCTAGCTTCAATTGACTCATGATTTCAATCATATACATTTTTTGTAAGTTTTACAGCGAAAGGTTGTAAACTTTTCACAAATGCACGTGAATAGGTTATACGATACACTGACATAATGATCTTTTAAAACAAACAATGAACCAGAAAAATTGTTGAAATATCTGAATGATAGAAACAGGTAGCTCAGATAATCAACCAAGCCTCTCAGGTATGTTTTTTTTATTTGAGGCTACTATGGTTAAGCATAAATCTAGCTGATTATTTTCGTAGCTCCATCTGATATAGACATAAACGAATATGCATGGAAGATAATATATTTTGATATACATAAATAACTTTGAAAACTATTCGACATTTGGGGAAAACTTTGTTTATTCCAATGAAAAATATTTATCAGAATAATAATATTTTTCATAGATAGACAAAGGAGAATTCATAATCTATTGACATACAATTACAATCAGACCGATAAACATGTAAAGTACAAGTACACCTCATGTAAACAGCTGAATGATGTTACATTCTATCAGACTTCGTATTGATGTGATTTATATGAGAACGACAAGGATTTCTGTTATGTCGGAAGTGAATTCAGCCACAATATGACAACACAACTGTACCACAATACAGAAACTGTGTGTATTGTTTGAAGGAAATCAACATCTCACATAGAATGAGAATAGTCAGGAAGTGGTATATTGAGTGTGTGTGTGTGTGTGGAAGAAACAGAGACTGGAGATGTGGTGGAGTGGAAATGATGTTGGTGAGCTCGACTAATTTTTGAAGTGAATCAATACAAGTCGAATGTTGATGGTGGAGTGAGTTTGTTTTGATTATAACTGGTGATTGAAATTTTTCGTACTGATGATGATGATGATGATGATGATGATGATGATGATGAATGGTGTGTTTGTCGAACTCAACTGTAGAATCTTATTCATCAATGAATTAGACATTTTGAGTGATAATATTCTGTACTAGGTTATGACTAGATGGTTTCCGTTGACTGGTTTCAAGAGGTATTTCCTGGAATTCTAGTGAGAAGCAGTGACCAATGGAGTTCAACTGGGTGTGTTGTGAGATAGTAACTCAATGATGACAATGGTGAATGTGTTGCTCAATTTCGTGGATTGGTTGAAGTTAGAAATTAACACCGTTGGATGCCTGGTGGCTCAGTGGTCTAGTGGTTAAGCGCTGGTGCGCGAGACTGATAGATCCTGGATTTGAATCTCACAATGCGAGATCGTGGATGCGCACTGCTGACGAGTCCCACAATAGGATGAAACAGTCGTACAGTGCTTCCAATTTTTCCATGGTGTTCTAGCTTCAGTCGAATCATGATCTCAACCATTGAAATTACAAATAGAACTGTTGATAAAAATTGTCTGTTTTTCTCCTATTGAATCTATTTTTTAAATACATCCTGGCATATTATAAGCTCATGATAGAAATATAGTTTAATTTTATTGGGTTTAAAGTTTGGTCCACTCAAGATGAAGATTTTTAATTGGATACTAAATGAAGATTAGTTCGACATTTTTTTAAAAATAGAAAACACTTTGTCATAGATGTAGAACACAGAAAAATTGAGGATCATGGGTTAAATTTTTTTCCTGCTTGTTATATTGTGCAACCATAATTACACATGACAACAAATATATGGTCTTCAGATTTTACAGCCAACATACATAAGATGAAGTTGCGCCACCGTACACTATTGTCTTCAGTGAGTTGATATCTCGGGATCGTGGATGCACACTGTTGAAGAGTCCCATGCCAGGACGAAACGGCCGTCCAGTGCTTCCAGGTTTTCCATAGTAGTCTAGCTTCAATCGACTCATGATTTCAACTAGTGAAATTTCTAAAATCTCCACAAAACCCTTTCTGATACATAAGATGTCTTAAACTAGGCAGAAAAAAACGATCTACTCTAGTGTTCAGTAGTTCACTAGACTTCATCGATTTCTTATATAAACTATCTTTAGAAAACTAATCTTAGGATATTTTGTTTTATATCTTCAACTTATAATAATACTAATTCAAAAGTTATATATAAAAGCAACTTCAAGGAATGCGATATGCACTTGAATAATTTACTTACCATGTATTAATAAAGAATTATCCGCTTGTAATATATAACGATTACCAAAATTTAATGGTATATTCCCTGAACCAGTAACACGATACCATTTAATATTAGGAAGAGGTTGACCAGTTATTGGACAACTTAAAGTTGTATCCATTGAAAATTCAGCTAATACTTTTGAATTTGTAAAATCTGTAAGTACTTTAGGTGGAACTAAAAGGCAAACAATAAAGGTCGATAAATTAATAGTAGTTATAGTCATCATTATAGCTGTCAAATGTTAACCTATTTCCATTTTACTTCTTACCTAGGTACTGTCTTCTATTATATCTCACTTGAAATGCTTATTGTTATGAAGGAAACCATATCACCTGGACGAAATTGATGAGTAAAAGTGTTGTTTAGTAAGAACATACATGTCAGTCAGTTAGTCATAGGACCAAGCACAGTTGTGCGTCGGTTTAATTGACCATACCTCATTAGCACAACAAGATGAACACCGAATTCATAGGAGTAATTAATTCAATGATAGTAATACACAAAAGAAAGAATGTGTCTAAGGATTTAATACAGGAAGAAAGAATTAGAAAGAATGATAAAACGTAATTTTAATCTCATAGTTTAAAGGAAGATAGAGAGTGTATATACCGATGTTACTGTGACCGATTCTGAGCCATGTCGCCAAGAGTCTCCAACCATTGGTTACGATAGTCACACGGATCCCAACAAAGTGGTCTGCATCTACCAATATGGTTCAGACTAGAATTCAGTGACTTCAATGACTGATGCCACTTCTTAGTTTGGATGCCCCTAACTTGGTTGGGGTCCGCGTGGCTATTGTAACCAATGGTTGGAGACTCTTGGTGACATGGCTCAGAATCGATCACAATGGCGTCGCTGTATATACTCCTTGTCTTCCCTTAAACTAAGAGATTAAAATCACTTCATATCTTTCATTTTACGAACCAATTCTTTCTTCTTGTACTATATCCTTATATGCAATCTTTCTCTGATATATTACCACCTTTGACCTAACCACTGCTATGAATCCAGTGTTCATCTCGTTGTGCTGATGCGGTATGGCAACTTGGGCCGATGCACATATGTGCCTGGTCCTACGTTGTAGGTGACTGACTGATAAACTTCAGTTAGCAAATACAAATGATGTTGGTGTGGAATGTGCTACTTATATTGAAATAAGTAGTATATAACACGAGTTAAAAATATAATGTCTGGAAGCAGAAGATTGAGAACATCAAGGAAGGAAAAACAGCAATAGAAAGCGACTAGTATGGAAATGCAGGGACAATGAAGTCTGAGACTGCTAATGAGCATCTTGCAATTTAGGTATTAGAGTATGGTTTTTCCAGTTTACTAAGTAACTCTGTAATTTTGTGCCGAGTATGGTAAACAATTCCCATTCATAACTTCTTTCTGAATGTAAACAGTCAAAAAAATAACTTACATCCAACATCCATTAGTACAGATTCTCTTGTATAACCAGCTATACTTTCAGCAAGACAGGTCCATTCTCCTTTCATATCTTGACGAACTGAAAGTAATTTCAGTACTCCTCTTTCTTCATCAATATGAATTCCTGGACTACTAGTAACCTTTTGTGTTTTAAGAAAAAAAGAGTCAACAATATTTCAAAGCGTTTCATGCATTCGATTTTACTAGCTGGAAATTACGACATTCAGGATAGACGACATGACTGATTTGACCTATGGTTTACTAAATCATTCTCAGATATACTGCTGAGTCCAGATAAAAAGATGCCTTAGGGAATAAAGAGGCAGATCTAGCACTGCCTCTTTTCTTCATTATATAGTGGATTCAGTTTCAAGATAATTCCTTTAAAATCAATTCTTTGAACTACTCAAACCTCAAATTTTTTTTCTAAGGACAGAATCTTATCATGAACAATCGAATAACTCTTTGACTACATCTTGAATAGTGAGTAGCAACAGTCCCCAAGTAACGCGTTTCTTCATATACAGGACTTGTCAGTCTAACGTTGATGTTTACATTGAAACGCAAACCCGTCATTCGTCGCTTAAATTGTCAACATGTTACCAACTAGATTACTAAGCCAGATTAGGTGTTTGACGGTTATCATGATCTAGGCACATCCAGTTGATAAGTTTCTGGTAGGACGAAACTTTCCTCCTGAATCCCACTTCTAGACACTGTTCCAAATAATTTCGAATAAACTGAGCATTGAGTTGATTGTTATAAATAAAAACAATATATCTGTGATATCCCAATGAGTAGAAAATGAGATTTTCTGACGTTTCATGACTTAGGGTAAGTCGCTTCTTCAGAGAATAAATCGTCAGAAAACCTAATTTTCTACTCATTGGGATATTACAAATATATTATTTTTATTTATAGCTGTTCCAAATAGTTAACTTTTAGCCAAAGACAAGGTTTTTTTATACCGACAGAGAATTGTCAAGTGCAAATTCTCATAAATAAGCTTATGGACTTGTAACTTCTTCCTAACGCATTATGAGTAAAGTAAATCTTTGTTCTCTAGATTCACTCATAAAATCAGTTCTCTGCTGAAGCAATACTCTCCACTAATTATTAAACATTGATCATATTTAGTATGTTGCGTTGCATTATATGTAAAATAAGTTTGATTTTGAAGTCCGATTAAGTTAAAAGTGAAAATAATAAGTTTATATTTTTCACTTCCCATTTGTCCAACAACAAGAAACCAATATAAATTCAAATATAGGAATAGGGGTAAGTATGTACAGACTAAATTAGAAATCCCTTATTTCATAAACTTAGTGAGTTATTTCACTGGTTGAAATCATGAGTCAATTGAAGCTAGACCACAATAGAAAACCTGGAAGCACTGGTGAGCCGGCATCCTACGGTGTTAATGTCTAACTTCAACCAATCCACGAAAGTTAGACATTAACACCGTGGGGTGCCGGCCGGCTCAGTGGTCAAGTTGGTTAAGCACCTGGCGCGAGACTGATAGGTCCTGGGTTCAAATCTCTCAGGGTGCGGGATCGTAACTGCTCGCCGCTGAGGAGCCCTATACTGGGACGAAACGGCCGTCCAGTTCATCCAGGTTTTCCATGGTGGTCTAGCTTTAATTGACTCATGATTTCAACCAGTGAAATTTCTAAAATCTCCACAAAACCCATTCTGATAATAATGCGTTATATTGAAGATAGGTTTCTTTGGTCTGAAATAATCTTCACAAACTTCTTAGCCTGATAATAAAGATGTTCTAGTAAATAAACTTGAATGATGTAGCTGAAATACGTTGTGAAACAGTTACTCATTGTTGGTAGAGTATAAATACAAAGCCTCAAAAGTAAGTCGGTGTTCTGACAATGATACATTGGTCATAAGGGAGCAAAACTCTAAACTCTATTCTGTTAAAGGTTATGAATAGTTTTGAACCAAAAACGAAATAGTTGTTAACTGTAATGTTTATTCTCAATAGTTTCTCAATTGGTGTCACTTACAAACTATGACTATCATTAACTTCATCTAGTTTCCCTAAACGTTCGTAAATGAAGGTTAAATACATAGTTCTTATTCTATGATTGCGTAATGTAATTAACTATTTGGAAAGAACATATACAAAATACACTAATTATGAAATAAAGAATATATAACTTACCGGACTTCCATTAAAATCCCATTTTACTTTAGGTTTCGGTTTACCAGTAACATGGCATGTAAATATTTGTTCTTGACCTTCAACTGGCAATAGACTAGATATTTCTAGTTTATCGATTTTCGGCGGTGATATAAAGTTAGCGAGAATATTGATTGTACGATTACCAGCTGAATTAATAGCTATACAAGAATAATTGCCCGCATCACCGGATTTCGCTGGACGAATAATTAATCTTGACTCCTGTGATCAAGAATAAAGTAGTTTATTATAAATTTAATTGGACAAAAAGTAGCTTGCTACGACTTGAGCGGACTAATGACCGTTCTCATTGGCTAATTAGCTGAATAATGAAATACAGAGTTCAAACCTATGACTTATAAATCAAATTATATAGACAATTAAGACTCAGTATCTAAATGGATAACGTGATGGCGTTTGAAGCAAATGGTGCTGGGTTCGAGCCCCTGAGTGAACTTCAACTGTGAGATGCAGGTACATCCAACTGACGAGTCTAACATGGGACGAAACGCGCGTCCTGAATTTCACTGCTAGCCACCATCCATCTTTGCTCTTAATGTTTGTGACTTAAGGCAGTATTGAAGCAATCCACACAATATGCATGTACGCCAATAAGGGGCTGATCCATTGCAGTCCTGAACATCAATGAGAAGATTCAAAGAAACAATACTAAGTGGATTCAAATGAGTTACAGTTTCCACCAGTCAATTTATAAACATATTGGTTTTTTTCTATCGGAAAACTAAATATTATAACTTGTATGCTTGGTCGGTTACCGTATAGCTCTCAATAAAATAACGAGTTCGTTAAACAAAAAAAGTTTCTTTGTTGATCTATTAAGTTCCTCAAATAATTCTTCTGGAATCCTTACGTATGAGAATACTAATCAATACATCTGGTGAAGCCTAATTTCTGGTACAGGAACCTATGTTAAACTAATAAATTTCACTTAAATCTAGCTGCAATCATAATATTACTCCAACCCTAACAAGTTACGGATAACTCCATCTGAAGCCCCTCTGTGGCTGCTGCCGACCTCAAGTCAGGATAAAGGAGGAGGCTTGGGAGTTGGGTTAGCGACCCCATCTCTTAGAAAACTAATTATTTAAAAAACGCTAACCAGAAAAAATAATACAACACAACATGTAATATTGGAATCACAATTGACGGAGAACACCTTTACATATCTGGGCAGTATCATTGATGAACACGGTAGATCTGAAGCAGACGTGAAGGCGTGGATCGACAAAGCAAGAGAAGCATATCTACAATTGAGGAACATCTGGAACTCAAAACAACTGTATGTCAACCAACAACAAGGTCAGAATTTTCAATACAAATGTCAAGTCAGTTCTACTGTTTACTGGAGCGGAAACTTGGAGAACTACGAAAGCCATCATCCAGAAGATACAAGTGTTTATTAGTAGTTGTCTACGGAAAATACTTCGGATCCATTGACCAGACAGTATCAGTAACAACCTACTGTGGGAGAGAACAAACCAGATTCTAGTGGAGCAAGAAATGAGGATGAATCTTTGGAAGTGGATAGGACACACATTGAAGAAAGCAACCAGCCAAGCACTCACTTGGAATCCTCAAGGCGAAAGGAAATGAGGAAGACCAGAGAACACATTACGTTGAGAAATGGAGACAGATATGAGGAGAATTAACAACAATTGGATAGAACTAGAAAGGAAGGAGTAGAACAGAGTGTGTTAGAGAATTCTGTTCGGCGGCCTATACTCTATTAGGAGCAACAGGCGCAAGTAAGTAAGTAAGTAAGTAAAAACAAGTTATGAACAGAATTTCATTTACTTAAAATGACTTGGATAAAACATCCCTAAGTAACTAAGTATTGTTAGATTAATGAATCCTTTAAATCGTTGCTCAACTTGAGAAACATTTCAAAATATTAAAATACTAATTACAGTGAGATTATTATTATTTTTTACATACAAAATATTCTTCAATCACTGTTATACGTTGATCATCATCAGTGGATATTGTAATTGGTACATCATTATATGCCCAAATAATTTTTGGTTTTGGTACTCCTTCTGAACGACAACTTAATACAAGTGAACTACCTTCTTTAAATGTTACAATTTCTTCGTCTGTATTCACAACAGGACGTGCTGTAATTTAAACGAAAAGAAAAAAATAAAACTAGGATTAATGAATTCAGTTGGTATAGTTGACTTGTATCTTCCTATTTTTATTTAGGACTGCAAGTGATCACTCTTATTGACATATGTGAATACATAAATATATCCAGGACGCGTGTTTCGTCCTATTTGGGACTCATCAATCGAATGTACCTGGATCTCAGAGTTGATATTTACTTCAGGACTCGAACCCAATACTGTTCACTTTAAATATCACAGCGTTATCCACTTAGATACTTAATCTTGATAGCCACGTGCTTGTGCAATGGGTTGAAGCTTAAATTCACTTGGTATTGTTTTACTTGAATCTTTCCATTGATGTTCAGGACTGTAATTGATCAGTCTCTTATTGGCATATATACATTCTGTGCGAACTGCCTCAATATTGCCTCAACTTTTACAGGTTTTTTTAGAAGCAAAGATGAACAGATTCAGTTACATCCAGCTGACGAGTCATAAATAGGACGAAACGCGCGTCCTGGATTCCACTACTTGTCACTATCCATACAAAAAAAATTATGTACTGATCACTTAGTGATACAAGGACGAATGGATTTCACTAAATCGAACTTGGAAGTGGGTAGTATGATTATGTTTAGTACCTATTATTAGTCGAAATATGGTTAACGAATGAATTAACTTATAAGCATTATGAGATATATTCGGTCTTCTGTGACTAACGACACTCTGATGTCGATTAATTACATTCGTAATCAGTAATTCTGAATAGCTCTTGAATAGCATTACGTGGTCCCTAATCTTGTTTAGTTTATTCTATATTTTGTCTTTAAGTGTGTCACTTTATTAAGTCAGTATACGATATTCATCGACAAGTTGTTCTGTTTTTCAATATTCATTCATCTCGAAAAAATGTGCATTTCATAAGTGATGGTCCTCTTAACCTAGACAGTAAACAATTTGATAGAAACTATATAGAGACTTAGTAAAAACTAGTATGCTCTTATTAGTTATTTATTACTGGGATGCGAATCTTAATCAATGTTGAACCATGATCTCAAACAGGATAGAACACAACACATTCATATATCATATCGATTCTTACACCATTGAGTAGTTTTTGAGTGCTTTATGTCAATTTACACCCGGCTAACAAGTCTCCAACACCAATAAAATCAGGAATGTTATTTTCATCTCTCATGGGACTGATCATGTGAATTTATTTGCACCAAAGCGTTTTGTTCACTCTAAGACTTGAACGTAGTAGCTGTGGCATCAAACATGAGTCATTAAACGAGTTCTGAATAGAATTGATTATTCGATCTAGATTCAGCTGTTAGCCACAATTCAAATTTATTCATCTCGTAAATATAACTAACATAATGACAAACTGTTATGAATTTTAAGGTCTTTACTTATCACATGATTTATTCGCCAATCGAAATACAATTTATTCAATCTTAGTACTATACTAAACCTGTGGTGTGCTACTTATATTGATATAAGTAGTAAATGGTGTCAGTCGTGAACAAAATATCTGGCATCAGAGAGACAAGAGGATTGAACAATAAAGAATGGAAACAGAATGCAGTTTGTATGAAAATGCAAGAACAATGGAATCTGAGTCATTTTGCGACAACTGGTGGACATTTTGCAAATTAAGTATTCACTTGGTGATTGTTAGATTTTGTCAACAAGTCCTGTAATTTTATGTTAAATACACTCGATTGTCCCCACCCGTGTTCTGTTCATTACAATAAGAAGCCTAGCCTCCTTATCGTTCCCTTTTCCGTCTAGCCCTGCTTATTGGCTCCAGAACATTAATATCAGCTTGCATTATACGTATCATTTATTTCAAATACACTTGGTTTATATACCAACCAAAGAGACCACATCACATCATAAAAAAGAAAACAACATCTACACAAGATCAAGTCAAAAGGTGGTTTTGATTGTAAGAGACTGTAATCAATAAACTGAACATCACTTAAGAACGATAATTCGTATAATAATAGTCTATAAATCAAGATATAGCTTATAATAAGAAGAACATAGATATACACAAGCTAGTTACTAACTAGTTATACAATAAAATATATATATCATATTAGTCCATTAATAGATCTCAGAAGTTACCCGTAATTTAATTAACAAAAAAAAACGCATACATGGGTAACAAAGACTGATAATCAGCATTTCTCAACATCGCGTAAAAGTAGATAAATAACCCCCCTCCCCTTACTAATATAATCAACTTAACTGTTATATGACTTACAAAAAAAAAGATTTGTAAATGTAAATCTCAATTGAAATAACAGTTGTTTATGAAACTAATCATCATTTACCCCTGAATTCTTATACTTTTCTATTGGATTATTTATTTTATTTATTTTAACACATAGATATTGATATAAGGAGGCACCAAATATATATGCGCCACACAAATCTCATTCGATATGTGTGAGGGCTGTGATACTGCCCGTGTGCCCAAACCGAACCAGGTGGTTTTCTTAAGGGGCCATTCCCCGAGCCTTCAACCTGAAGGTCTGATCCACAAGGCAGTGGAGCATCGTAAGCAGATGGAGTCCCATGGAAGCCGGTGACCAACAATTGGTTCATACGCCATTTGTTCCCGCAGGATACTGGAGCCCATGTGCACCATTGGTTTGGAATCCGGTTAAAGCGCTGGACATTTGCTTTTCATCCTCTCATTTTCGTAAACAACAGTAATGCCACGAGAAGGCAGTGAGTAGGACTTCCCTGGCAGAGGCTATATACGCGTGGCCATGTGAGAGTACTTTTCAAGGGAGAGTGGACTCTCCCCACTCTCGGCCGTACTAAAGCATTTGGGGGGGGTATCCTTTTGTTGTTGCCTGAATAAGCCAACTAATTATATATATATATATGATCAAGGAAGGATGAGAGAGGTTGGACAAATCGTTTTTATGTACCAATTACTTATTTATGTAATCTATTTACCCTTAAGCAATATTATGATTGTTTCATTTATAATTAACATTATTATTACATATTACATTTTGTAATTGTTATTACGTAATTATCGTTTTTTCCTTATTTCTCAATAAATCACTTGAATGAAGAAAAACAACATGGGAAGAAACATACTATACTTAGATCTAGAAACAAAACGGTATTTTTATTGAATAATTAATAGTATCATAACAAAGTAACTAGATTTAGCCCCTGACATTATTATTATTATTACTACTACTACTACTACTACTACTACTAGTAGTAGTATTAGTATTAGTATTAGTATTAGTAGTAGTAGTATAATAGTAGTAGTATATTACCATTGAAACAAATAATGTAACATATGTTAGTACAAAATCTAGGTTTATAGATATTTACTGCTTTAATAAATAATGAATAGAATGATAATAACAAGGATTATTAGTAATTCATTAGTGTTATTTCACAACTTTACATAATTCAGAGTGAGATAAACTTGGAATTTGTTATAAGGAAAGATAGATGGTGGCCAACAGTGGAATCCGGGATGCGCGTTTCGTCCTATTTGGGACTTGTCAGTTGGATGTACCTGTATCTTATAGTTGATGTTCACTTAGGGACTCGAATCCAGTACCGTTCGTCTCAAACGCCATCTCATTATCCACTTGGTTACTGAGTCCTGATAGCCACCTGCTTGTGCAATGGGATGAATTTTAATTCAATTGGTATTGTTTTGTATTAATCTTCCCATTGATGTTCAGGACTGCAATCGATCAGTCTCTTAACGTGATGGCGTTTGAAGCGGATGGCGCTGGGTTCGAGTTCCCGGGTAAACCTCAACTGTGAGGTACAGGTACATTCAACTGACGAGTCTAACATGGGACGAAACGCGAGTCCTAGATTTCACTGCTAACCACCATCCATCTTTGCTTATAATGCTTGTGAATTAAGGCAGCATCGAAGCAATCCACACAGTATGCATAATATGCCGATAAGAGACTGATCAATTGCAGTTCTGAACATCACTGGGAAGATTCAAGTAAAAGAATACCAAGTGAATTACTTGAAATTTGTTGTTTGTTTGTTTTTCAAGTATCTACATTGTACTACAATATGAAATAAGCTATATTGCTCAAAGATGAAACAAGCTACATCTCATTTCATGCGTACGACTAATAGTAAAGTAAAATGAAAATGTCCAAGGGTGAAGTGTTGTTTATTTCAGCTCTATTTATTCTAATTTGCTCCAATTTGTAAGTAAAACATTCTAAACAAATGAAAGCCATATGAACTGTGAATAATCCGAGATTCAACAAATAAAGATGGTATCCGTGAACTGACTGAATTCCAACTTAGTGTCATAAAAGGTAATGAGTTTTCTTCAGGACGGGAAAGTTGTCGGGCCAATTCCATTTCTGGAACTCTTAATCTGTAGACCACTGAGTCCGCATCTGACAATGTCAATGTCTAACTTCATTTAAGAGTTTCCAAGTCGACATGAATCCATGACGAAAAAAACTTTTAAATCACTTATATGTACACTAAAGTATAGAAGCAGATATAAAAGTATTTCCTGTACTGTTTTCTCTTAGATTTCACCCTTTTACTTTGTTATCTGAAATTCAATTTAACAAAAGTACTTACTGTGTATAATAAGGAATCCATCCGCTTCACTTATGCCACCTTTATGTTCAGCTTCACAAATATACTTGCCCGAATCGCTTTCAGTAGCAGACCTGTAAAATAAAAGAATTGAAAGGAATAAATAAAAGCAAAGGTATCAAAATTCATAAGAATATACCGTGTAATTTAATCAACAGAGCATAGAATAAAGCTTCAAAATTAACTCGTTAGTTGTGTTCATGTATTCCCTTCAATTTCATATTGTGCAGTCAACTTACTTTTAAGAGCTACTTTTCCACATTTAACTTATGTACCGGAGTGAAGATCAACTATGAGATGCAGGTACATCCAACTGCCGAGTCCCAAATAGAACGAAACGCGTGTCCTGGATTCCAATACTAGCCATTATCCATTTTTGCTTAGAATTTTTGTGTATTAAGGCAGCATCGAAGCAATACGCACAGTATGCACATATGCCAATAAGAGACTGATCAATTACTGTACTGAACATCAATGGGAAGATTCATTTAAGCAATATCAAGTGAATTTATATCAGTATTTGTTTTAAAGCTAAACTAATTGGAATTGTAACTCCGCCTGGAGCCCTTCTGGGGCTACTACCGGTTTCAAGCTCGGATAAAGGAGGAGGGTTGAGCATGGGGTATAAAACTAACTCCCTAAAAAAACGCTAACCAGAAAACATTATTCAAACCATTTAAACTCTACCCTGGGAGTCAGAAGGTCTTCATTTAGAAGAGTTATGACGCCTCATAGTGAAAGCCGAGTTCCTTCGGAATTCACGAGGCTGGTGCTCCTTCTGGCGAACAGAGCAACCATTTATTTAGGTAAATGGAATTCTCTTACTATGTGGGAGACTGGGAGAGTCTTCCGAATTGCTGCAAAAGTTTATAATCTCAACCAATTTTTTTTCATTTTATGAATGAATATCTGTTATCTTACTAACGGTAATAACAATAATACTTCATACACATAGTTCCTTTTATTATACTTGAAGTTAACAAAAGCAGTAGTTTGAGCAAAATAACATAGGCGAGACTATAATTTATGGATGAAGCAATCATGTATAAGAAAACATAAATCGGATTTTGGTGCAAAATTCACTCATCTATATGGCTAACTAGAGTTTTGGTATTATAGATGATGTGCGTTCGTGATGAAACCCCTAAATGTAATTTCTAACCTTACACACCAACTGTAAATTATAATTTTAATACATCACACAAATTTATAATTCTTATTTGATCCTAGTTATTAGCTGGACATTTTCAAGAGGTCAGTCCAGAGTCGCTGATAAATTATAGTCTCACCATTGAACTGATTAGAGTAAGTAAGTAAGTAAGTAAGTAAGTAAGTAAGTAAGTAAGTAAGTAAGTAAGTAAGTAAGTAAGTAAGTAAGTAAGTAAGTAAGTAAGTAAGTAAGTAAGTAAGTAAGTAAGTAAGTAAGTAAGTAAGTAAGTAAGTAAGTAAGTAAGTAAGTAAGTAAGTAAGTAAGTAAGTAAGTAAGTAAGTAAGTAAGTAAGTAAGTAAGTAAGTAAGTAAGTAAGTAAGTAAGTAAGTAAGTAAGTAAGTAAGTAAGTAAGTAAGTAAGTAAGTAAGTAAGTAAGTAAGTAAGTAAGTAAGTAAGTAAGTAAGTAAGTAAGTAAGTAAGTAAGTAAGTAAGTAAGTAAGTAAGTAAGTAAGTAAGTAAGTAAGTAAGTAAGTAAGTAAGTAAGTAAGTAAGTAAGTAAGTAAGTAGTAAGTAAGTAAGTAAGTAAGTAAGTAAGTAAGTAAGTAAGTAAGTAAGTAAGTAAGTAAGTAAGTAAGTAAGTAAGTAAGTAAGTAAGTAAGTAAGTAAGTAAGTAAGTAAGTAAGTAAGTAAGTAAGTAAGTAAGTAAGTAAGTAAGTAAGTAAGTAAGTAAGTAAGTAAGTAAGTAAGTAAGTAAGTAAGTAAGTAAGTAAGTAAGTAAGTAAGTAAGTAAGTAAGTAGTAAGTAAGTAAGTAAGTAAGTAAGTAAGTAAGTAAGTAAGTAAGTAAGTAAGTAAGTAAGTAAGTAAGTAAGTAAGCAAGTAAGTAAGTAAGTAAGTAAGTAAGTAAGTAAGTAAGTAAGTAAGTAAGTAAGTAAGTAAGTAAGTAAGTAAGTAAGTAAGTAAGTAAGTAAGTAAGTAAGTAAGTAAGTAAGTAAGTAAGTAAGTAAGTAAGTAAGTAAGTAAGTAAGTAAGTAAGTAAGTAAGTAAGTAAGTAAGTAAGTAAGTAAGTAAGTAAGTAAGGAAGGAAGGAAGGAAGGAAGGAAGGAAGTATTATGTCTCGATGTGTCGACTCCAATAATTCGAATTCAATTGAATAGTATTAACGAACATTTTTAATTTTATGAATATTATTGGGTAAAATTATTCTTCTATTGTAAATTATATCAATATTATAATATATAACACACCTTATTGTTAAAGTACTGGTGAATGCTGATGCTAAACCACCTGCAGGTGTATCTTGATTCAATTTAATTGTATGACGACGTCCATTTTTTAATTCAAATCTTGGATCTAAACCACGATACCATTTTACTTCAATATTTTCATCCAACTAAATATGTTACAAGTAATTATTGCATCTGTTCTAGGCTCAACACTTGCATTACGTGGTATTAAAACACGAGGAGGAGGTGCTGCAATAATAATAATAATAATAATAATAATAATAATAATAATAATAAACAATTTATAATTATCTTGTATAAAATGAAGTCGGATAGTTACATTTAAATATAGAAATAAAACTACTTCTTAAATATAAGTAGTATATTTTGATAAATGAACAAAGGCTTCAACTTGAGCTGTTATCTCATTATTTTTTGTGATAAGACAATATTCTTTATCCATTTAGTTAAATTGTGTCTCGGCATTTTAACTTATGTCAGTTCGTAATGAAAACCATTAAATCTAATTTTTATCCCTAACCATCAAATGTAAATCATAATCCTTATCTTTCACGCAGGTTTAAAACACTCATTTAGCCCTAATTAGTAGGTGAACATTCACAAGATCATTTTGGTGTCACTCAAAGGTTGTTCATAAATTATAGTTTCACCTGTGTTATTTTGTCCAAGTCTTCAGTTCAACGGAAGTATGCACCACAATTACAATTGGATCCCTGTCTATGATGCTCTAGTTCCTAACGTTTTTTTAACTTATTTATTTATTTGAACACATAAATATTGGTACAAGGGGGCACCAAATATATATGCGCCACACAAAAAAATGAGAGTGGGAAGAGGAAAAAGATGGTAAGATGTGTCTAAGAAAAAAAGAACAATAACGACCGCAGATTAGTGTAATTTAGTGTAATAATAATAATAATAATAATAATAATGGGGGAAACGGAAAGGTACAATAAGAAGGATTCTTTCAGTTAAGAAAGACACAACCACTTTTTATGAAGAAAGTAAAAGAAGTTTACAGCAGGATCGTCACTGGCTTCTGTTCTGAGCCATATCTGATAACGTCTCTAGACAGTGTTGCACTATTTCTAGGACCCCAACCAGGAAGTCGTGAAGGACTAACAGAAGCCATCCCTTTGCAGCTTTCTTTCATACCACGACACCATGTCATACACTGACCACCTCTTCGCTTTTTCCAACCAGTCCCAGAGTTGACAAGTAATGCACGACGTGGAATTCTATGGGACAACATTCGTAGAACATGTTCAAGCCACCGAAGTCGGTGTTTCAAGATGGTGACATCAAGTGCATTATCGTCCCTCTGTACGAACACACGATGCCGAACCTGTACATTACTAACATGATGTTTCCACCATTCACGGTGAGTACAGGATTAGAATCCTGCCAGTCTTGTAGAAGTACTTTGCAATTTGAAGGTGCAAAGCACATACCGTACTCAACTCGCATTGGCGAATAACGAAATCAAATAAGTCAAATACGAGAATGGATGTTTGAATACGTATATTTCATACAATTGTTGGTCATAACAGGCAATCAGTAAGACAGAGCGAAAAAAGAGGACGAAGCGAAATAACAAGCAATGGAGAAGTCGTGTGAGGTGACTCGATTTAATCAAGCGTTAACCTATATTGATAGTCGACAAAAATAAGTTACAGACATGTAATGAATGAGATAAGAAGTGCCTACATCTATACGCTCATATCAAAACAGTCAAGGTTGACAAGTGAGTAATTAACAGGGTCAAAATATGGTTTAGGAAGAACGAATAAACTGATCTGTACGAATGTTAGGATAGACTGTGCGGGCTTAACATAGCAACCGACACTACACATTCTTTTACCATAAATTATTCTAGTTCTAAATTTTATCAAAACATAACATTGATATTCAGGTGAAGTAAAAGACCTCTACTCTTTCGACATAAGTATTTTGTAATGAATTATGCAGAAGGTAAGATATTACCTACAAGGAATGCTTCAAAATTTTGTGAATATGCTATTTTGTATGATAACCTTATAGTGTTTTATGCAACGAATTACTGATAAACAAATCCATGGTTTTTAGACAGAACATCCTAATTGACATCTCGAAGCCAAATAATCCACATGAATGATTACACTGACTGATCTCTTATCAATGATGTATGTACTGGTTTTTAATCCTCTGTATCGATTTATGGTCGTGTTGTAATTTGATCGGTACTAATGAATTAACAATAAGGACTAGACAGGCCATGACATTGGTTATCACCCAATGTTGAATTGGCATAAATGTCTCATTCGTATAGAAGATTTGAATGGCTAAGTGGTAATGCCACTGAATACGACACAGTAATCTCAAGTAGACCATTAGATCACTTATTGTTGCATGTTTATAAGCTTTAATTATTACAAAATCTAAGTCCACTGTTTCCTAATGATTCCCACCATTTATGTATAATTATTGTAAAACCATCTAAATAAACTGGTTTGTTTGCTCAAATATAAACTTACGTAATATATTCACAGATATTTCATCTTTATATAGACCATCAATCTTTTTCTCATCATCAGTAACTGTAGGTATTACTTCTACTGAATAAATCCCATGTGATTCTTCATTGACATCAGTAATTGTATACAAAACATTAGTTGGGAAACTGAAGTATAATAATAATTGAATATAGAATTATCATTCTCTGAATTAGTTAATTTAAAACAACAGATTTCTATTTTATTCTACAAACATGTAAATATAACATAGACCTAACGTTGAAAGTGTGAAATTAAACCTCACATTAGGTGATATACATATTTCAATAGATGAGATCATGAGTCAATTGAAGTTAGGCTAATATGGAAAACCTGAAAGCACTGGATGGCTGTTTCGTCTTATTGTGGGACTCCTCGGCAGTGCTCATCCACGATCCCGAAACATCCACAAAATTCCCTTCTGATATATATTATGTTCCTATAAGAACAGAGGAATCTATAATAAGTAAAGCTGACTTGAAAGGTTTAATACTTTTACTGGTAGTAAAGAGTTCCGAGTTAACGAATAAAACATTATGGTAGTATAAACTCAAGAATATTAGTAGCTGTTAAGGACCTTTTTCAATGACGTAAATAATTTAGTACAAATAAATTTTGTACTCTGTAGGTATTTTCTTCACTGAGTGGTGATCAATGTCATGTGTGTGGGGTCCTTCTTAGTGCAGGATGTTGATTGCGGCCCGGATGGCTCAATGGTAGCGTCACTGACTGTGAATCTATGTGACACGGAATCGAATCCGTAAGGGGGCATCAGTTCCCTTAAGATTACATGTACACCTTACTGACGAGTGCCAAGTGGCACGGAACCTAGGTCCCGGGTTTCCTGTCGACTACGTCTAACCACTATTTTATCTAAGTTATTTTCTTTTTTTGGAAATTTGTTATAACAAGTTAACTATTAATTCCATATGATTTCAAATTATCATAGGTCTTAATGCTAAAGCTATCTATTAAAAATGATATTATGTCATTTTATTGAAACAAAGATAAGTCCTAGTAAATCTACTTCAATAACTAAGCCTGGAGCCCTCCTGTTGCTACTGCCAGTCCCAAGCTCGAATAAAGGAGGAAGGTTGGGCATGGGGTTAGCGACCCCGTTCCGTAGAAAATTAAGTCACTAAGAACGTTAACCAGATCTACTTCAATGGAACTTTACTATGAAATAATTCATCATGATTACTTTATTATATATACAGTAATATATAATATACTTACTTGTAAACTTTATTTTCATCATGATATCCTGTAATTGGTTGTTTATCTTTAAACCATTTTACTGTATATGGTATTTCACTTGTTACAGAACATGATAATTCTGCTGTAGCTCCTCTTCTAACATCAATTTGTGCTGGACATGTAACAACAATTTGTTGTGGTTGTCTAGAAGATAATGCTACTTTAGAACAACGTTGAAATGGATAACCTTGTCCATCACGTCCAGATACCTGTATCCATTGATATATACAATTATAAATGAGTGATGCAACATATGAAATAAGAAATATGAAAGAAAAAATATAGATATATGAAAGTAACTGAAATCGTAACAAGAGAAATAGTCGTACTGACTTTCTGAACAATCACATCTAGATTTCTGTGATATCTTAATAATACGTCTATAGAATAGAAGAGATGTGTCTATATATATACTTAATTCAGTTGGATTTATTCTTGTAAATCATCTTGAAAGATACATTCAATGTTATGAAGTTATTGTTGACTATATGTTTCCTGATTATTTCTTTATTCATCTACAATGTAAAGTGTTTTCTTGTATATCAATAAATGATTCACGATTAATGATTGTTATATACATAGAAGTAAAAGAAAAGTCTATCATAGAACAATAATAAATACATAGAACCAACTTTTACACCCTTTTTTAAATAAGTCAATATATGTGGCATTTTCGAAAACGTCGTATACGATACTACTTCTAGTGATTTTGTAGTGTGTGCTACTTATATTGACATAAGTAGTAAATGATGTTAGTCATGAACAAAAGGTCTGGCAGCAGAGATACAAGAGGACTGAACAGTAAAGAATGGAAACAGAATGCAATTTGTATGAAAATGCAAGAACAATCAAGTTTGAGTCATTATGAGACAATTGATGGACATTTTGCAAATTACGTAATTACTTTATGATCTATTTTATTAACAAGTCCTGTAATTTTGTGTTAAATACATTCGATTGTCCCCACTGGTATTCCTGTTCGCTATACTATGTGTAAGATTTATGCGATCTATGTTATTAATGAATAATCATTATTTGATTGCCCGAATTCACTGTTCTAAATGTATCATGGATAAATTAATCCCAACTTTTTATTTTGCCTTAGCGTTTTTCTGGCGAGTTAGTTTTCTACGGGATGGGGTAACTAACCCCATACCCAACCCCCCTCCTTTATACGGGTTTGGTATCGACAGTAGTTCCAGAGGGGCTCCAGGCGGGCAGCGTCGTTGATGAACACGGTATATCCGATGCAGATGTGAAGGCGTGGATCGGCAAAGCAAGAGAAGCATATGTAGAATTGAAGAGCATCTGGAACTCAAAACAACTGTCTGTCAACCAACACCAAAATCAGAATTTTCAATACAAATGTCAAGTCAGTTCTACTGTCTACTGGGGCAGAAACCTAGAGAACTACGAAAGCCATCATCCAGAAGATACAAGTTTTTACTAACAATAGTCTGCGCAAATACTTCGGATCCGTTGGCCGGACACTATTAGCAACAATCAACTGTGGGAGAGAACAAACCAGATTTCAGTGGAGGAAGAAATGGGGAAGAATCGTTGGAAGTGGATAGGACACACATTGAGGGGAGCACGGAACTGCGTCACAGGTCAGTCCCTCACCTGGAACCTTCAATGCCAAAGAAGGAGAGGAATACCAAAGAACACACTTTGTCGAGAAATGGAGACAGACATGAGAAAAATGAACAAAAATTGGATAGAACTATAAAGGAAGGAGTAGCACAGAGTGTGTTGGAGAATGCTGGTCGGCGGCCTATGCTCCATTGAGAGTAATAGGCGTAAGTGAGTAAGTAAGTTAGATTCTAACTAAACTGAAACCATCACGACAGTCAGGTTTATATGTAGAGCCACGCCCTCAGCATTCGATCTGAAGGTCTAATCCACAGGGCAGTGGGGCGGCGTCAGGAGATGTAGTCCCATAATAGCCGGTGACCAACGATTGGTTTTGCTAGGTTTGAAGTTATCACGAGTTCAATTAATCTGTGAACGAAAACAAAGACTCAGTGACAAAAGACCAGTAAGCTAGCTATTTGATGCGTCCCAGCCCGCTAACTAGAGAGATAAGTCCAAGCTTGGAATGGGAAAGTATACTCTGCAAACAGCCAGAAACGAGCGATCACACAGCGATCCACAAACACAATTCAAACGTATATATATCAATTATATGTGTATAGTCGATATTACCATGGAAGTATTTTTAAACATTTAATCGATAATAATAGTTTGTTTAATTAACAATTATACGGTAAAATATACGTATAGTGTTGGTCCCCAAATGGATCCCAAAAATTACCACTCATTATTCTTATCGGGGCATAGCAGGTTCATACGCCATTCGTCCCTTCAGGATCCTGGAGTCCATTTACACCATTGTTTTGGAACCAGGCTTTTCCAACCGCCCTAGGTGGATCGTCCATATCCACCACCCCAGTTAAAGCACTGAACATTCGCTTTTAGTCCTCTCAATTTGGTAAATAACAGTAATGCCGCAAGGAGGCAGTTAATAGAACTTCCCTGGTAGAGGTTGTATACGCACGGTCATATGAGAGCATTTCGAGAGGAAGAGCTTACTCTCCCAACCCTTAGCCGTACCAGGGCATTTGGGGGCTTGTAAATGTATGTGAGGAACGTTTTGTTTTACCACTCATAACCAATGATGAATGTTAAAAATGTTTTAAATTTGCTAATAAATTTTAGTGAGTGAATTTTGGGAAGAAAACAATAATGTTACTATCAAATAACACTGGATAGGAGACAACGGAAACTAAGATGAATTCAGTAGGTTCAGATCAGTGTAAAAAGGAAAAATCACGGTTCTGCTATCGTGTTTGGTAAAAACCTATATGAATAAACATTAATACTTTACGTTGTATACAATTAATTAATGAATTTATTACGAAAACAGTCAAATAAATTGCGATCATGAAATGAATAATGTTAGACCATCGTTGAAAACCCGCAAACACCGGACAGCCATTTCTTCCTAGTATGGGACTCCTCAGCAGTGAGCATCCACAATCCTTCATGCAAAATTCGAACCAAAGATCTCCAGTCTCGCGCGCGAGCTCTTTAATAGACTCATGAACTCAACTATTACAATACTACAATCTCCACAAAAACCCCCTTCTTATAATAATCACCATGTGCTCACTAGTGAATGGCTTCAGGAGGTAATTCCTGGAATTCTAGTGAGAATCAGTGACCAGTGGAGTTCGACCAGGTCTGCTATGAGGTAGTAACTCACTGATGACAATAGTGAATGTGTCGCTCAATTACGTATATTGGTTGTAGTTAGACATTACCACCGCTGGATGCCGACTCAGTGGTTTAGACGTCAAGAGTTCATGCGCGAGAATGATAGGTTCTGGGTTTTAATCCCACATGCGGAATCATGAATGCTCACTGCTGAGGAGTCTCATACAAGAACGAAATGGTCGTCCAGTGCTTCCAGATTTTCTATAATGGTCTAGCTTCCATTGAATGAAGTTCTCAACTATTAAAATTATTAATAATATCCACAAAACCTCTTCTGATACTAATCTAGTTCTGGTTTGTTCAGTATAATAGAAGGATCTATTTTCTTGTTTGAAAAAAAACACAGCAATGATGATGATGACGATGAAATTCCTTCAATTGTTTTTTATCCGTTTTAAGAAAATATTTTTGTATTAGTGTTTGTTTTTTTCTATAAAAAGAATTTATTAGGATGAAAACCTACTTCAAGATAATAATGTCCAGTAATTGGTTCCATTGCTTGTTGACTAACATAAATTTGAAATGTTTCAGTTTGTTGTACAGGTAATCGTACAATTGATGAACCATTTGATCCACGCATATCAAAATGATCAATTTGTCCTGGTAGAAATCGTCCAGTCATATTAACCATAATGTAATTTTGAACACCTGTAGAAAAGTTTTGGAAAAAATATTCTTTAGAAAAGAAAAGATTTGAAAAATAAACGAGATTATATTTCACTGTGATTGATTTGACTGACACTAACTTCCTTACTTTGACTTCAGATAGAATTTTATTTCTTGATGGGGAATAATTAGGGATGTGGTATGTGTCCCAGTCACCTATGTTGATAAAGACTCATAGATTCATTAAATTTTTGTTAACATTATCTAGAACCCTACGTTTAACCTCAGTCGATTGTTTCACAAAGTAAAAGAGGTGTTTTGAAAACACTTATGATCAAATACTTATGGTCTAAATGTAACTTCCAATTCCATAAGTCATGTTTCAGAGCCATAGAAAAACACATATGGAACTGCTACTGATAGGTTTGTGCAAATTTTTTAGATTATATGATGGTTTTCACCAAGTATCGATATTAGTTCATGTATCATCCAAAAAACACATCACTTTATATCTATTTTGTTCTACTTCAGGACTTATTAGAAGAGCATATACATAACCGGGCCAGGGATCGATTTCGGGATCCTCAAGATTCACTAAAAGCATATCACTTTATAACTAATGAATTGATCTATATTCTCTACTTTATTCTGTTCTATTTTGCTTAAAAAGCTTGTGACTTAAGGCAATATCGAGGCAATCTACACAAGATGCACATATGCCAACAAGAGACTGATCAATTGCAGTCCTAAATAACAATAGGAAGATACAAGTAAAACAACATCAAGTGACTATAAATGAGTGTATTATTTTAGGAGGATAGATAAAATCTTCATATTACCATCATTCTTTGCCTTCTTACCTGATTTGTATGAGTTACAGTTTCATTTAACATGTACTACTTGTCCATAATGGTATCGTTATTTACTATGGAAGAAGTTTATTTCATCGTTAGAATTTAAGATGTAGTTTAATTGTCTAAACATTTCATTTTGATCAACTATAGTTACATGGGATTTATCTAATCCTACTAGGTAGGTATGTCTAAATAATCTTTTTTTACAAATTGAGAGATGATTTCAACAGATTAAACTTGTATTTTGTTAACCTTACAAGTTCAACATAATTTTCTATTGTACATGTATATCTTTTAACTAATCAGCAGTAAGATTAAGCAGAGATGGATGAATGGAGGTTAGCAATGGAATCCAGGCCGTGTGTTACATCCTATTTAGTACTCATTAGGTGGATATACCTGCATCTCAGAGTTGATGTTCATTCCATGACCTGAATCCAGTATCGTTCGCTTCAAAATCTATTACGTCATCCACTCAGCTACCGAGTCCATATAGTCACTAGCTTGTGAAATGGGTTGAAGTTTAAATTCATTTTGTACCGGTTGTTTGAATCTTTATATTGATGTTTAGGACTGCAGTTGATCAATCTCTAATTGGAATATGTGTCTCCTGTACGGATTGCCTTGATACTGTCTTAATTCAAAAGCGAAGGATGCACAAAAAATCTTTATCTAAGATTTGATTTTAAAGACAACTTGAAGGATAACAATTTTCCTTATCGACCAAGAAGATTTACTAACAGGATGTTTAACTCTATGAAGTTACATGTTACCTACTCAACTAAATAAGTACTTACACAATTAATCAAAGATGAAATACCATTAATGAGCTCTTCCATATGCTTATATCAGTTTAACTTTTCTATCGGAGCTAGTTACATAAGCTTTATAGAGAAGGCTCTATCCTTGTTCATGATTTAGTTTATTATATTGGTTGTAGTTTGGTATCTTAAAACGAATCCTTCTTCTTATACCTTTCTTAAATGAGATTTCAATTTTATAATTGAGGTGATTTGAATTTTGCCTAATCAAATAGTTCATTGTTGTAATTTACTTATCCATACCTTATTTTGACCATTTTAGTACAACGATTATGAATTTATATTTACTTGGTGTTGTTTTACTTGTATCTTCCTATTGTTATTTAGGACTGCAATTGATCAGTCTCCTGTTGGCATATGTGCATCATGTGAGTATTACCTCGATATTGCCTGAAGTCACAAGCATTCTAATCAAAGATCGATAGTGGCTAGCAGTGGATTCCTGGACGCGCTTTTCGTTCTATGTAGGACTCGTCAGCTGGATGTACCTATATCTTAGAGTTGTTGTTCACTCAGGGCTTCGAACCCAACACCGTTCACTCAAATATGCCATAATTCAAATAATCAAAAAAAACAACGAAACAAAAAACAAAGATAAAAATGAATTATTCAATCAATCAAACCTGCAATCGGTTGTGTTGATGCACCATAATTATACAATTTTGGTGTTGTTGAAAAACCTTGCAAAAAATCAACATCACTTATACCAGAAACTCGAACAGAAATCCATCGTTCACGTTGTAAATTACTATCATTATTAATATTATTATTATCGTTATTCATATCCATTGTTTCCGAATCAGTTTCTTCTGTATCAATGCCAACTTCTAATGTCCACTGACCTGGTTTAGGTCGATCAATCGATCCGACAAATACAGATTTCACAGCTTTCATTAATTGTTTTAGACCATCTTCCTTATCAATTAATTTTCCTGATTAGAAAATTAAAAACATTGAGGAAAATAATGAATTAAAATAAACCATAATTGTGACGGCATCATGAGACAAGCGCTAACTTGGAATCCTGAAGAGAAATGGAAAAGAGGAAGGTCAAAGAACACGTTACGTCGGGAAATAGAAGCAGATAGGAAAAGGATGAATAACAACTGGAAAGAGGTTGAAGGGATTTCCCAGGACATAGTTGGGTGGAGAGTGCCAATGATCCTCCACGAGGAGTAACAGGCTTAAGTAGTAGTAGTAGTAGTAGTAGTAGTAGTAGTAGTAGTAGTAGTAGTAGTAGTAGTAGTAGTAGTAGTAGTAGTAGTAGTAGTAGTAGTAGTAGTAGTAGTAGTAGTAGTAGTAGTAGTAGTAGTAGTAGTAGTAGTAGTAGTAGTAGTAGTAGTAGTAGTAGTAGTAATACTAGTAGTAGTAGTAGTAGTAGTAGTCGTAGTAGTAATTTTACTAGTAGTAGTAGTAGTAGTAGTAGTAGTAATAGTACTAGTAGTACTAGTAGTAGTAGTACTAGTAGTAGTACTAGTAGTAGTACTAGTAGTAGTACTAGTAGTAGTAGTACTAGTAGTAGTACTAGTAGTAGTACTAGTAGTAGTACTAGTAGTAGTAGTAGTAGTAAAACTAACAGTTTTTTCTAATTATACAATAAAACCTAACAAATCATGAAGGGGTTTGCATTAAAATCCGTCTTGTTTACCAACCGCTTGTTACCATTCAGTGAAATGACAATTATTCAATTTACAATTACTATAAATAAAATATTCTACTGAATATATTAACAATTTCTAGAATCTACTCAAAGTAAAGCTCTACAGAAATATGTTAGCCCACGTTCCTTTACCACGTGAACACATTAGAATGGCGGACGTTATGTAATAGAAATGATAGTGAAAAGGATTAAAAAGTAATTATACAGTTCGAGAAAGTAAAATAAAAAGTTTGTATGAAGGAATACTGGAACTGAGAACCTGTGTTGTTATGAACGATTCTATATGATGTCATCCGATTCCTGATTGTGTTGATCATGTGTACTCAAGTCAGGTTGTTTTCATTTAACAATATTAGATCAGACCAACAATGACTTCATGGACTGATGTTACTCCATCGTTTGCCACCTCTATTATCCATTTTCCTATTAGTAGTAGTATTTTTTATTCATGTATTGACTATCACAAATATTTGAGATATAAATTAAAAAGGTTTCACTAAGAATAAATCAACATTTAGTACATCGGAAATGTTCACATGAATCATTTGTATACAACTACGACTAACTAATCCGATCTTCACATGGAATCCTCAAGGTCAAAGGAAAAGAAGAAGACCAACGAACAAATTACGTCGAGAAATGGAGACAGACATGAGAAGAATGAACAAAAATTGGATAGACCTGGAAAGGAAGGCCCAGGACAGAGTGCGTTGGAGAGTGCTAGTCGGCAGCCTATGTTCCATTAGGAGTAACAGGCGTAAGTAAGTAAGGAAGTAATTTTGTGATAGACCCTTATGTGAGGTAGTTCTTTTTTCTACATTCAGCATGGATTATTTTCTTTAGTAAATAGGAAATTTACATTGAAACTTTCTTAGTTGTTAACTTCTACTCACCAAAAATGTCAAAATTCACCAATATTGGCATAAGTTGATATACAGAATTTTTCGAAGCTTAAATTAATTAGTCTAATAGATTGAATACTTAAAGAGAACCAATTGTTATTGAATAGTTGTTTTACCAGACTTTTCACCATTTAAGCAATATGCACCCATACAGATTGACAAGGATATAAACTAAGATTTTCATGGAGTTTTGTTCTCTAAGTTGAATAGCTTGGTCATGGAACTTTTATTGTTCTTCTGAACGACATCATCAGCACAAACTTCAGGTATAAATGCAGTGAACAAACCATCCAGTCCAGATAACAAAACTCCATCCAAATCATCCACACGAGCTACAAATCTTCTGCATCATCTCACTAATATTTTCGGATTTTGTAGTGTTTGTTATCATTAGTTAGTTGTTTTAGAATCTACTAATTTATAATCCTAAATCCGCCTGGAGCTCCCCTGAGGTTACTGACGGTTCTAAGCCCGGATAAAGGAGGAGGGTTGAGCATGGGGTATAAAACTAACTCCCTAAAAAAACGCTAACCAGAAAACATTATTCAAACCATTTAAACTCTACCCTGGGAGTCAGAAGGTCTTCATTTAGAAGAGTTATGACGCCACATAGTGAAAGCCGAGTTCCTTCGGAATTCACGAGGCTGGTGCTCCTTCTGGCGAACAGAGCAACCATTTATTTAGGTAAATGGAATTCTCTTACTATGTGGGAGACTGGGAGAGTCTTCCGAATTGCTGCAAAAGTTTATAATCTCAACCAATTTTTTTTCATTTTATGAACGAATATCTGTTATCTTACTAACGGTAATAACAATAATACTCCATACACATAGTTCCTTTTATTATACTTGAAGTTAACAAAAGCAGTAGTTTGAGCAAAATAACATAGGCGAGACTATAATTTATGGATGAAGCAATCATGTATAAGAAAACATAAATCGGATTTTGGTGCAAAATTCACTCATCTATATGGCTAACTAGAGTTTTGGTATTATAGATGATGTGCGTTCGTGATGAAACCCGTAAATCTAATTCCTAACCTTAAACACCAACTGTAAACCATAATTCTGATTCCTCACACAACCTTATAACCCACTTTCGTCCTAGTTTTTAGGTGGACACTCTCAAGGTCAGTCCAGCGTCTATGATAAGTTATAATCTCATCTCGACACCATCAGCACAAACTTCAGATAGAAGTGAAGTGTTCGAATTTCTCCATATGCGTTTCACAGCTTGTTCTGTACAGCTGTACAGCTGTTCTATAGTTCAGAAGAACGATGAAAGCTTAATGACCAAACCTTCCAGCTCAGAGAACTAAACTCCATCAGAAAAAATTACAAGTTGTATTTACAACTGATTGGTTACTGGGTGGTGATTAATAACCTGTATGTCAGGTTTTTCTGTTATGCCCCGATAAGAATAATGAGTGGTAATTTTTGGGATCCATTTGGGGACCAATACTATACGTATATTTTACCGTATAATTGTTAATTAAACAAACTATTATTATCGATTAAATGTTTAAAAATACTTCCATGGTAATATCGACTATACACATATAATTGATATATATACGTTTGAATTGTGTTTGTGGATCGCTGTGTGATCGCTCGTTTCTGGCTGTTTGCAGAGTATACTTTCACATTCCAAGCTTGGACTTATCTCTCTAGTTAGCGGGGCTGGGACGCATCAAATAGCTAGCTTACTGGTCTTTGGTCACTGAGTCTTTGTTTTCGTTCACAGATTAAGTGAACTCGTGATAGCTTCAACTCTAACACTTTCTTAGTGCAGATCAAATCCTATCTACCAAGTTGCAATTTGGCCACTAGTCTAAATGACTCGAGATTGCGTGCACTTTGGTAGTTGATTATCTCTTACCAACATTTTATCACAAGTTGTAAGTAGTTGAAGAAAATCTAACTGAATATAAATAATAATAATAATAATAATAATAATAACAATAGATTAGTATTACCTTCAGGATTACGAATTTTTACATTAATTGCACGATCACGTTGATGATTTGTTACTTGTATAGTTAATTGTGATAAATGAGAATCGACTGGGAAACTATAAGTTTTTGATTCGGTATTCAATGTATCTTGTTGAAGTATATGTACTTTACGTGCTTCAACAGCAGCTTCAACCACTTGCATAAACTAGAATATAAAAGTGTTTTTTTATTGATGGTACATTCATCATAAGTACATTTATTTACATTGTATGATGGTTGAATAAGATTACAATGGCTAACAAAGTACAATTTTACAATTTACATACTAAGGACAATTATCCGTATTACTAAAGTTTGATAATGCTCACTTTTTGGACTACCCAATAATGATTACTTACTTACTTACGCCTGTTACTCCTAATGGAGCTTAGGCCACTGACCAGTGTTCTCTAAACTACTCTGTCCTGGGCCTTCTTTTCTAGTTCCATCCAATTCTTGTTCATTTTTCTCATTTCTATCTCTACTTCTCGGCTTAATGTGTTCTTTGGTTTTCCTCTTTTCCTTTAGCCTTGAGTATTCCATGTGAGGGCCTGCCTTGTGATGCAGTTGGGCGCTTTCTTCAATGTGTGTCCTATCCACTTCCACCGCTTTTTCCTGATTTCTTCCTCCGCTGGGATCTGGTTTGTTCTTTCCCACAGTTGGTTGTTGCTAATAGTGTCCGGTCAATAATGATTAATAGAATATATTTACATCTGTCAAAGTATATACAGTATGAAGTTCGTTTTTTTAATTTTTATTTCCCGATTACATAAGCTAATAACTATCGGGACTCAGTAGTTCAGTGATTAACCCTTTTACTTACTACTTATTTACTTACTTACTTCATTACCTGACAAAAGATGGTAGTTCAAAATGGGGTAAACATGATACCATTTATTATTGATCTTATTTGTTTAAATTTATCAGACAGTCATTTTCACAAGTACATGGCAATAGTTATTACAGTATTAAAAGTTTTGTTTTACAGTATTTATTCCTGAACCAAACAAGATCATAAGAACGCTAAAATAAATAGAGAATTAGTATTATTACTGTTATAACTTGTGGCCTATCTGCCCTGTTAATGTATAACGTGATGATACTGCCAATTAGAGAACAGTGAATTATCGATCGGACCAATGACGTACAAAAAAAGTACGAGCAGTCTAGAGTCCTTATCGGTCCTGCTTCCTGGCTAGCCCTAACTGCCTGTTGAGTCCAGAACACCAATCTCAGCCTCTACCATATGAATCATTCATTTCAAACATACTGGATTTATATACTAACCAAACAGACCACATCGTATCATAAAATAGGAAACAACATTTGTACAAGATTTAGCCAAATGTGGCTGTGAATGTGGGAGGTAGTCTTTGATAGACCGTGTATAACTCAAGAATGGTAAATCGTATAATAATAGTTCATTGGTCAAAATAAAGCTTATTGTGCTGTGTGCTACCTATATTGACATAAGTAGTATATGATGTTAGTCGTGAACAGAAGGTCTGGCAGCAGAGAGATAAGAGGACAGAACAGTAACAAATGGAAACATAGTATTGGTCCAGAAATAGATTACAACAGTTACCTTCATTATTCTCATCGGGATGTAACAATTACTTCTATTTCTATTTTATTTAGTTCAATCTTCATTTTGATAGGCATTCCACTCTTTATCGGTTCACAATTGATTGACCACTGGGTGGTGGGTGAGCAATGTCATGTATGTTAGGTCCTTTTTAGTGCAGATCGATTGCTATCGACCACTACAGGAAGTCTTTCACGGCTCGGACAGCTCAGTGGTAATGTTTCTGACTGTGAAACTGTGTGACACGGGATCACATCTGTCAGGGAACACCAGTTCCCTCAAGGCTATATGCGCATCTTGCTGATGAGTGACAAATAGCATGAAACCCGGGTCCAGGGTTTCCTGTTGACTACCTCCAACCATCATCTTAACTCTTGATCGGTTTTACATCCTACTTGTGTTGACAGACATAATTAGCATACACTACAATACAACATTATTTACTTTAACTTGACAAAATTTATCTCATTCAGTAAAAATGCTCATCTATTTCAAAAGTTTTAAGAACCAATTTTAATTCATCTCATTCAAATTGCATTATCTGAAAAATGTAATAGAAATCCACTACTTCACTTAAAGTATCTTAATATTATGCATATGAGATAGCGTATGTAAAGAAGTTTGTTCACTTAAACCTATTGACACTGTTTATCTTACATAATTTATTGGGAGCAAACTTAAAAACATCAAGAATCATTATGTAATCTATTTAAGAATAGATGTATATTGATCTAGAATTCAAGGTTTGTAACGTGAACGAAATCTTAGGGATACATTTGGTAAGTTCATAACAAAAAACAATCCACTCAGACACATTACGATTATCTTACACTAGAAAAAAATATGTTTTATTTATTTAGTGATATGATGTAGAGTGGATAGAACTAGAAATGAAGACCCAGGACAGAGTGAGTTGAAGAATGCTGGTCGGCGGTAATGACTATGACTCTCTTAAGGTAGTCAAATGCCTCGTCATCTTTTGCCTCGTGACTCGTCATATATTTGGGCCTTTCGGGTGTTATGGTTGCGTGACGACTACCTCTTCGTAGTGTGGTATCTATTTGATGGTGCGGCCAAAATGTCATCGAGACCTTCGGGTCTCCAGTTGGGCTGTTGTGCGCCTGTTAAGGTGCCCGGTATAGTAATATGTAGCGGGTGCGCACGACCACATCTGACTTCTACCCATCTTACACTGGTTCATCTGGGCTAGTGTGGTGGGGAGGCTGAGTCTAGGTTGGCTTTAGCTGTTGACCTGGCCACGTGAAATCATCCCTATGGTAACATGTGTGCCCTGAAGGAACCTACCGTAGCTGAAACTGATCCTTTGGCTGGCGGTCATTTGCTGCTAGTTAACGCATGGCTTCGGTGGCCCGGTAACCCAGATGTGGCCCCAGGATCGACCAGATAAAGCCCGCCCTGCTAACGTTGAAGATTGAGGTGTGGGTAGTGGCGTGGATGGTAGGGACCGAGTTAATCTATAAGGTGTCTATTTGGAGGTGTTTCAGTATGTAGTGGCTGACTGGATTTCCAAATTTCCCTACTGGTGTTCGTGTTCACTACACAGATACATGTGCAGCTCTAGTAACTGGTGAACATCGTCTAGCATTTGTTTGTTCGGAAAAAAACCATCAATGGGAAATTAATTTTTAATAGTTGAATTTATGAGTCATGTAAACCTAGACCACCATGGAAAACCTGGAAGCATTAGATGGTTGTTTCGTCCTAGTATGGGACTCCTCAGCAATGCGCATCCAATTAAATTTAGGAACAGCTAATCACATTTTACCTCATAAATTTCAATCTAGACCACAATTACCATAAAATACAAAAGATATAAATTCACTTGGTATTGTTTACTTGAATATTCTCATTGATGTTTAGGACTGCGAATGATCTGTCTCTTATTGATATATGTACATCTCGTGTGGATGTCTTGATAGAGCCTTAGGTTACAAGTATTATCTATCTTTGCTTATAATGCTTATGATTTAAGGTAGTATCAAGGGAATACGTACAGGATGCGCATATGCTATTAAGAGATTGATCAATTGCAGTCCTAAACATCAATGTGAACATTCAAACAACCGGTATAAAATGAATTTAAACTTTACCCCATTTCACAAACTAATGGCTATCATTACTCAGTAACGAAGTGAATAACACAATGGCGTTTTAAGCGAAAGTCTTGGAGTGAACATCAACTCTGAAATGCAGATATATCAAGTTGATGAGTCCCAGATAAGACGAAACACGCGTCCTGGATTCCACTGTTAGCCACTATCCATCTTTGTTTATATAGAAGATATAATTTCAACAGGAAAATGATAATGAAAATATCGGGAAGAAATTATCATTCACTCACTTCATTAACCTGACCTTTACCAATAATATAAAGTTGACCAGAGCTAACTGTAGCAATCTGACGATATGCTTCAAAACCAGGTTCATCCGTTGTATTACAAAATCCAGTTAGAACAAATACAACCTTAATTATAAATAATAATAGTAAATTGTAACTGAAATATTGTTGCGAATGTTTAAAATTTTATTTGAAAAAATAATAAATCACTTCGCTATTCAGTGTCTGTTTTATGTAATTACTTACTTTCTTACGCCTGTTACCCCTTCTGGAGGAGCATAGGCCGCCCACTAACTGTTTTATTTAGTTACTATGGAAGAAAGTACAAATAATAATCACGAATACAAAATGAGTAGTGCTAAAGTAAAAATCAGTTGCTGCTGTAAATGTACATACATAGCGTTAATAGTGATCAAACTCAAACTGTTTATATCTGGAAGTGTACACTATACTTTCGTGTCAATGAGCTAAAATCATCTGAACAACATGCACAACATTATTAAGTGTAAAATTTCAGTTAAAACTCTCATTAAATACTGTTGATGAGTAACTAATACACTTGTAATTTCATCTACCAAACAGAATCGATCACATAGCCAGTCAGGCATTAGCAACCAAGATCCTGGGATATTTGTACATTGATTCAAGTTGCCACACTGCATAAGCTCAATATGAGGTCAGAATAACAGAAGCAATAGCTGTTGAGTCGGCTTTCGGAGAACTTCAACGGAGCCTCCAGAGGCACAAAAGAAGCCGAAGAGTCCTAGCCAATCAGAGTATGATAGAACATTCTAGAATTCCAACGTGGCGTGCTACTATTGGTCGGTAGCATAATATGTCGTTAACGGATTGGCTGAAATATGATGTTGATTTAACAGACGCCAACATCTATAAATACCCATGATTTTCTGTACAAAAATGAACCTTGGGATAAAGTGTTTTCTCTCATACTTACGTCTTCTCTCTGGTGTTCAAGTCGCTGTGTAGTTCTAGCGTGCGGGTCATCGGAATAGCTTAGGAAATAAATATAGCGTTCAATCGACAAGACTTATCAATAGCAATATCAGTAACAGTGGAGAAGATTAGATGTAGACAGTATGATATAAGAAAATACAAATTTATGGAATAAAAGAGTACTCAGATAATTTTGTCACTCTAGATCTAAGAGGAAGTGTATATCTGTGCCATTATGAACGATTCCAGCCTCTTCACTAGTTGTTTATGGTAGTCACAAAGATCCAAATGAAGTAGTCTACATCTATCAACATGGCTCATTTTAACAGTCAATCACTTGATGGACGTCCTGGTTTGGTCACCTCTACATTTTTCTCAGTATACTCTCACAACAATCATTATCATGTATCAAGGTAGATGGTAGTTAGTCATATCAAGAGTATATACGAAATCAACTTAATGTGAGTATTTCAAAAGATCATTATCGTTCACTACTTATTGAAGGCAATTTATGGAAGGTTGATTATGAATACAGTGGTCTAGAGTGCTGTTAGAGGTATGAGGGCGGTTATCACTTCCCGGTTGCTCACACTGTGGACGGGTTGTTCTGGCGGTACCTGTCTTCCCTTAAACTAAAAGATTAAAATCGCTTCATATCTTTCTTTCTACGAACTAACTCTTTCTTCCTGTACTATGCCCTTATATACAATCTTTCTTTTATATATTACTACCATTGAATTAACTACTTCTATGAATCTAGTGTTCATCTTGTTGTGTTAATGAGGTATGGCAACTTGGACCGATGCATATATGTGCCTGATCCTAAGTTGTGGCTGACTGACTGACTGATTGAGGGCAATTTACAATATGGAATTTAAATGCATCACTTTTGTACTTAAAATACTTCATAGAATTTCCAATATTTTTATGGATAACAATTAACTGAGGTATTGCCATAGCCCATTCAACTTATGAAATTATAAATGATCATTCCTATATTTTCATTTTCATCTTTAGTCGAACTTTTACAACAGACATTATATTACTATCATTATATTAGTAGTAGTGGTAGTAGTAGTTAAGGAGTTTCGGAAATTTGTCTAATTTTATAGTCAATATCATGAATATCTTAACCATTAGATATTGGCTCAGAGATTTAATGGCTAGGTGATCACCACAAGACTTAAACGTATTGGCTTTGGTAAATGGTCAAATCATGTGTGCATTTCGATCACCAGTTCCATAATAAAACGAGATAACTGTCTTGAGTATTCCTGATTTTCAGTGTTTGTCGAATTAAAATCATTTTATGATGTAACCTATAACATATATATTACATTTTCAAGGTATACCATGAATTAATATAGATTTTAAGGCTCAAATTAAATAAAATTATAAAAACAAACCTTTAGACCACATAATAGTATACTATCAGTCAGTCAGTAACAACGTAGAACATCGTACGTACGTACAACAGTTCGAGTTGCCATACCACATCAGTACACAGATACAATTGTCGATTAAAATCCCATTGCGGTAGAGGTAGTAAAAGTATAAGCAGTAATCGGAAAGATTAGGGTTTGGCTATGTTATTGAAAGAGTATAATCCAGTGAAATAAATTTGGAAAGAGAAAAAGGAAAGGGACATGACGAATTCAGGATATTAGAATTTGGGAGAACACAAATAGTGTATGCACTTGCGCCATTGCAAACGATTTTGAGCCACGTCATTCGAGGTCTCTTACCACCGGTTGCTATCATCTCGCGGTCCCCAACCAGGTAGTCTACACCTACCAACATGACTCAGTCCACTTGTCAGTGACTTCATGGACTTGTGCCATGTTTTGGTCTGGCCGCCCCTAGCTTTCTTCCAACCTATTCCTACACCATTGAGCACTGCATGTCGAGGCAGTCGGTGGTTGGGCATACGTAACACGTGTCCCAGCCATCTCAACTGATGAAGTTTCACTACCTCATCAATTGATTTGCCATCCTTACCTAGTACCCGTTTCCTAACAAGCGCGTTACTTACTCGATGGTCCCATGATATACGAGCAATGTTTCGATGACACCTATGATCAAATACTAGTAACCTACGAATATCCTCTACTCTTACCAGCCATGTTTCACTGCCATAAAGTAGGACGGAACGAACTGCTGCGCAGTAAACACGTCCTTTGGTTGATAGATGGATATCTCGTCTACACTATAGTATACTATAGTATAGGGACGAGCATCAAAAAGCAACGACGAATTTCCGGTTAGTTTCTATCCAGTCAGAAAACAGTTCTCATCAATACGTAGTTGATGAGAAATAAAACAATGATTCTACATAGTGTAAACAAATTTTTAATCAATAATGAGTCCATAGTTTACTCTAACTGCAGATTTTTAAAAGCCCCTAAAGTGTTCCTAGTTCGGGGTTAGGTATTTTAAGTTAAGATCAAACGGTGTTATCTGCTTAGTTCTCTCATAAAATGTAGTTCTACCAAGTTTAAGTTTGTTTCGGAACTAAGGGTTAGAATTTAGGGTTAGTTTCGATTTGCCTGTTGCATACTATCTTTAGAGATAGAATTAGGTATTTGATACGTTTAACAATATGTTGTTTTTTTACTTTATGGTTGTGAAGAATAACTTTTCACTATCATTTTAAACATTTTGAGCACTATACAAAGGTATTTCTACTCCTTGCTATGCATAACATAAAAAAACTTGAAAGCCTCATTCTTGATTCTGATTGGCTCGTCCCTAAAGTACACTTTTTTAGTGGCTCGTTGATCTGACTCTATGTATACGCCGTGATGATAGATCATCAACTTAACTTCGTATATTACACTAGGGTAAGCCCGTTTGTGCGATGGTATTAACAAGATCCCAAATACGGGTTGGGCTGACCAAATTTATTTCGAACACTCGTTTATTAAGACTGACATTGAGGATGCGAAGCGAGAGAGCGGAAGCGGAGGTGAACATACTAATTCATTCTAATAAATTTTGACTCAATATTTATAACTAGACAAAAATAGGCTAAAGACATGTGATGAATAGGATAATCGATACACACATACTCTCAAATAAAACACTCGAGGTTATAGAGCAATAATTTCTGAGGTCAAAGTACGACTCGAAGTGAACAACTTAAATGATCTGTTCAGAAGCTAAAGTAGCCCATGTGGGTTTGATATAGTACTACATATTACACTTTTACCGACTTTCACTCACTGCCTTCTCGTGGCGTGAGTGTTGTTTACGGAACTGAGAGGACGCAAAGCGAATATCCGGCGCTTTAACCGGGTTGGTAGACACGGAGGGTTCACCGAAGGGAATTAAACAGCCCTGATTCCAAGCCAATGGTGCACATGGGGTCCAGTATCCTGCGGGAACAAATGGAGTATGAACCAGTTGTTGGTCACCGACTACTATGGGACTGCATCTCCTCATGATGCTCCGCTGCATTGTGGATCGGACCTTTAGGTCGAACGCTGAAGATGTGGCCCCCTAAGAAAACCACCTGCTTCAGTTTGATACCCGGTTCTCATCACAAACTGACTTGATCTATAATGCCATAATTCTATTTATCTAAATGGATGAGTGAATTTCAAGATTTGTTACCCTAAATTTGATTGATTCGTTCATAAATTATAATCTCACTTAATAAATTGATCAACTTACTTGACTTTGTTTTTGTTGTATTAAATTGAGTACTTTCTCTGTACGATTATAGTCTTTAGCGCTACTATCTGTAAAAACATAAATTAATGAATTTGGTCTAGATGCTTCCAATGCTAATTCAATGCCAGTTATTGTCATTTCTGGACAATCACCACCACCTTGAGTATAAACATTATCTAAATATTCATAAAATGTTTTAGTGGATGTTGTCACTTTAGCTGGTCCAACATCTAAAATTAAAATTAATATGAATACATGAAGAAGAGAAATGAAACATTAAATAAATCAATGATAAAGATAACTTGAGAAATATTTATGAAGTCACTAAATGATTTAGATTGGGGGAATCATGAGAACTTACTTACTCACTTACTTACGCCTGTTACTCCTCGTGAAGGAACATAGGCCGATCACCAGCATTCTCCATCCAACCCTATACTGGGCAATCCTTTCCACCTCTTTCCACTTGTTATTCATCCTTTTCATAACTGCTTCTATTTCCCGACGTAATGTGTTCTTTGACCTCCCTCTTTTCCGCTTCCATTCAGGATTCCAAATTAGGGCTTGCCTCGTGATGCAGTTTGATGATTTGCGTAATGTTTGTCCTATCCATTTCCATCGTCTTTTCCTAATTTCCTCCTCATCTGGAAGGTTGTTTGTTCTCTCCCAGAGAAGGCTGTTGCTGATGGTATCCGGCCAATGGATGTTGAGTATCTCGCATGGACAACTGTTTATAAATACTGATACTTTCTTGATGATTGTCGTAGTAGTCCTCCAAGTTTCAGCTCCATCATGGAAACTAGGGGGCACTAAATAATACTCATCGTATATGAGTATAGGAATTGTAGAGGTTGTTAGATTTAAGTTAGATAATCATTGAAAATCTAGAAAGACTAGATGATCATATTTCCTTAAACAGTTGTAGATCCAAGCTGTTAAAGAGATCCATACTGAAGTGAAACAGTTTTCATATTGTGGTTCGAGAATTTTCCAGCAGTGCTTATTCACAATCATATTTAATGCTTGAAGTCAACAATTTTTGATACCATGGTAAGGATGGTATGTTTAGATTACTGAGTTGAAATTCAGTAGTTTATATTTTTAACTTTAACCAGGATCTATCATTACCATTGAACAATCCTTATAAATCTTCTTCTACTTTGACAGTTATGCAAAAATGAAGGATAATTAGGATTAGATGCAATTATATTTACGTCTATTTACATGGTAAAATGGTAATTTACTTAATAATCATTAATAAATAATTCCTTAATATATCAATGGAGAGAACAAACCAGATCCCAATGGAGGAAGATATTAAGAAGAAGCATCGGAAGTGGATAGGACACACATTGAAGAAAGCATCCAGCTTAGTCACAAGGCAAGCCCTCACATGGAATCCTCAATGCCAACGGAAAAGAAGAAGACCAATGAACACATTACGTCGAGAAACGGAGACAGACAGGAGAAGAATGAACAAAAATTGGACAAACCTGGAAAGGAAGGCCCAGGACAGAGTGTGTTGGAGAGTGTTGTTCGGCGGCCTATGCTCCATTAAGAGTAACAGACGTAAGTAAGTAATTAAGTAAGTAATATATCAATTAAAAGATTTAATTTCATTTTCAATTAATTCATCATATGGCTGTACAGTTAATATCTTCATAAAGGTTAGAATAAGATGTACATTAATCAGGCTTATTTAAATCGGACAATGTTATTGGATCGAAATAACAAACTTTTAGATCTGTTTTATTTTATTTGTAAGATGAAATTCATCTCCGTATCACCACATATTTGCTATCTGAATTCTGTAGCTTGGTGGATAGTGTTTGAAGTGGAAACACTAGGTTTGAGTCTTACAGTGAATACCAACATTAGGATCTAAGTAAATTCATTTGACAAGTCTCAAATAGGACAACGCATGAGTTTTGTATTCCGCTGTTAGCCACCACTTAGCTTTGATTAAAAAACATTATTAAGTTGCTTATGTAACTGCAAAACAAGTAGGTTCTTATCATAGATAGTGTAATGTGATTTGTTTTTGTGACTATTTTAAAGTAAACTAGCACAATCCATTATGTTTATCATTTCAAGTAGTGTCTTCGTTCAGGATAACGAAACTCCAGAAGTTTTTTCTATCCGGTTGAATTTTACAAATTCATTGGTTTTATTATAGATAAGTGGATCAAACATTGTCATACTTGTCTAGTACTTAATACTGTTTAGTTTCTAACGATCATGTTGCAATAAAGCCACTATTCAAACTGACTCTACATTGGGTGCGCTATGTCATGAAGATACATTATTGGAATCAGTGGACAGTAAACTCTGAACCTACATTTCGTGTCAGTTGGTGCTCGTTATTTAAAGCGTACCTGCAGTCTTGAGGGAACTGATGTTCCCCAGGCGATTTGAACCCGTGTCAAAAGACTTTTCATTCTTAGACTCGATCACTTGAAATTGGCTACCACTAAACGATTAACCAACGTAAAAATCTCGATTCTATGAGAGGTCAGTTACACTCTGAATAGCTTAGCAGTAGTGTCGCAGAATGTATAGCTTACTAAAGGATATTCAAATCCTATGATTAGCAACATTTCTCCCAAGATCATTGATACATCATGATGAATTTGAATTCCAACAAAACATATATCTTACTGTTTACATTCAACTACCTAGTATCTAGAATATCAATAGGAATGATAACATAGTTACCTGATTAAAATTGCTAATTTGATATTTAGAAATTTTCATTAGATCATTAGTCTTGTTAATATTGTATAACTTTTTGGACAAAGTGAAGATTTATGGTTACTAATTAGCTATGTTTTGTACAGTTACATGTATTCATTATACCAGGTGAAAAAAAACTCTACCCACTATGATACAGCTTTCTACATAATAACAGTAAATTTACTGTTTATCCATCAACTTTTTGCCTGTATTTGACTTTATTTTAGGTATCTAAAGTCAAACATGATATCTAGTTAGTTATAAACACATGTTGTTGATGGAGTTTTGTTCTGTGAGCTGGATGGTTTGGTCGTGGAGCTTTGATGAAAGCTCCTGAGCTACAAATCTTCTCTATCATTTCATAACCACATGTTTAAATCCGTTGAAGAATTACTGGTTAATAAGGTGAGAGATTTTTGGAGAATGTTGAATTTTACAGTGGTTTGAAGACTAAACATTATCTGCCGGACCTGAGAGTTTTGTATTCGATCCTCGATGGGGAGGTCCTAATGACGAGAGGAAATCCCTGTCCAACCGTCTCTGGTTTTCAAAGATTGTCTAAGATGATTTCATGATTTCGAATATACAGTTACTAATTACCAGTAACAACTGGATATATTTCGTGAATTTATCAAAGCTGTACACCTACAAAGCTATACATAATCATTGAGCCTAATACTATCACTTCCAGAAACCTGAGTCCACATTTTCAAATTATAAACTGCCAGTAGTGATATTTGCTTCAATCCAGATATATTTAAAGTTAATCAATCCCTTTCTTTAAACAGGACTTTGAAATTCTCACTGGATTCTTAGCTCAAAACTAGGTACAGATAACTCTTCAGTTCGTTTTAATAGTATTCGAATTGATATCTCCATATAATCAAAACTAATTTCATTGTTTGACAATCCTCACAAACTACTTAACACTGGTCTAGTGACTGTAATTGTTAGATATTTATAGCAATATCTGAAGGTTGTTTGTGAAGTGTTGGATATACACAACTACGTAATCTTGTATTAGAACAAAATAAAATTCGATCTGCAATAAGAAGGACCTGATATACATGAAATTTCTCACCCACCACCCAGTGATCAATCAATTGTAAATACATATCAGTCCTACAGGAGGTCATTCGTGGCCCGGATAGCTCAGTGATAACATCTCTGACTGTGAAGCTGGGTGACACGGGATCGAATCTGTCATGGAGCACCAGTTCCCTCAAGATTCCAAGTACACCTTGCTGACGAGTGTCATGTAGCATGAAACCTAGGTCCAGGATTTCTTGTTGACTGCCTTCAACCACCATCTTATATTATGTCTTTAATATTCTTCGAATTTATGACAGCAAAACATTTTAGAAAAGGTAATCCATTATTAATCCTATTAATAAATTAATCACTGGGTCATAAATGACTCGATGATTTTCTCTTTTGAAGTAATTCTATAGATCTTTCAGGACGTTTTCACTGAAGTACATTAATCTTGATTGTAAAAACAGTTTGATGTAAGATTCAAGAAATTGATTACAAATCTTCGAAAAATAAAGAGCCATATATATAATGATGATTAATTGCAGGTTTTAGTGACAAATTCATGATTTCGACAGTCTATTTCTTCGTTATCGTAAAATTGTGGCTAAAATATGTTTTTAACAGTCTATCAGTTTATAGGTTAGTCTGATTCACATATTCAGCTAACAAAAAAGCTAATAATCCAGTTATAAAAATAGACAAACAAAACAAAATGATGATGATGATGATAATAATCAACTAGACATAGTGTGAATAGGAAAAGCTACTAGTGATGAGACTATAATTCATGGACGACCTTTGAGCGACGCTATAGTGATGCTAGAGAATGTTCATCTAATAACCAGTACCAAATGAGAGTTATAAACTTGTATGAGGAATTAGAATTGTAATTTACAATTGATGATTAAGGTCAAGAATTAGATTTAGGGTTTTCATCACGAACTCGCATCATCAATAATGTCAAAACTCTATTTAACCAAATGGATGAGTGAATTTCGCGTCAAAATCCGATTTATGTTATCTTATACCTGATTGGTTCATCCATAAATTATAGTCTCACATATTCCTCACTCTACCTTAAATGTTAATCTCTTAAATATTGCTTGGTGAACCATTATCCTTCAATGCATGCTTGAATCTTATTAATTGCCTTGCCTTGCTTTGCTTCGATTTGACTTGACGATAGATCCACTTCTCTGCTCCAATTCGCTCAATGTGTTTGTCACTTTTTTATCTATTCTATCCGCTGATAACTTGTAGTCAGCACTTCTTATAATGTTGGTTACCAAGGTGATTGATAAACGAGAAATAAGGAATTATCCCGGACTCGAGTCAGTACAAGATGGTTGAAGTATCAACTATTCATAAAGGTCTTTTATCTCTATGATCTCAATATTCCTTTTTTTTTATCACAAGTTATGTTAATACATCTACTTGCTATTTCAAAACAATATCCTTTAGA